TATTCTATTCTATTCTATTCTATTCTATTCTATTCTATTCTATTCTATTCTATGTACTGGAGGTATGTTATATATGAAAGAAATATTCTTATCAAATAGAACCTGTTCAGCAAACATAGTAACACATAATACCATTGAATTCATGATTTTTGTTTGTTTGTGTGTGAGTTGAATGCAAGGCTTGCTGCTGTATCCAATAACATTTGGATGCATGGACTTTACTGATTGCTGTCTTTCATATGTATCAACTTCAATCTCTAGAAGTACTCCTACCTTCATACAGAACCAGATGGAAATGGGAAATGTGATTATGATGAGAAGGAGTGAGAGGATGACAAGAAGCCACTCACAGATGCCAAAACCTGGAGACTTCAAACCTGCAGAAAACAGATACAAGATATATGATTTTCCTGGTTTCTTTAAACCTGCATTTGTTATTGGAAAAAATCAGATTAAAAAAAAGTAATATGGAATATGTACCTGCTAACCCACATTATTTTGGGAACAAAGGAGATTATAGGAAGATGAAACAGAACTGAGATAACATGCTCAAATTTCATCTGCTGATGAAAATAGGGATTCTTCTATATTCTAATTCGGAGTAAAGTTTCAGCATATATTTCGGGTCTTTCTTAGGAATATCAACTAGTTAACTACTATATCTGGAGGGCACCAGGTTGAGGAGGCTGGTAAGTTCCTTTACTATTATGCTGAAGGACATGTATAACTGTTAAGATGTAATAATTTCCATTTATAACTGATGCACACAAGCAGCCTGCATAAACACGGTGCAAAAATGAAAACACGTCAGAGTGCAGCTGACAATAGTCATAGAATACTTGTAGCATAAATGCATTTGGGTTGAATCCTCACATGTACTTAACTAGGGTGGAATCAATCTTTGGCAACAATAGTACCAAATCCATTCCTCCTTGTTTCCACATTGTTGCACTCATCTTGATTCCAATCCATAGATTGGAATTATTATTATTATTAACTATTAGTATTTCCCCTTATTCCCCAATGTCAGTCTCAAGGTATGTAAACTCAATTATGCTTCCATAATATAGGAGGCAAGTCAGGTGATCCACAGTGAGTGTGATCAGAAAGGAGCTCTGGATCTTTCAAGCAGAGGTGAGTTATTCCTTCTATCTGATCCCTAGTCACTCTCTTCAAACACCCTTCTGTTATTATCCCCCTAAAAAGGTGAACTTAGTGGCACGTGAAATGTCAAAGATGAATGGACATATCAGTGTGTAATAGCCTATGGGTCTCTGGATGCCAATACCACTCTTAGAATTCCTCCTCCTTTATTCTTTCTTACATTCAAGATTTGCCTGAAATTTTATCTTGATGGACATCAGAGTTTAGTAAAAGGAAAGCAGAAAACATGAAAGATGAGAGAAATAAAGCTTGCATGCAGGCGGACCTAGAGCTTCACCTCTCCCTTCTATAACCAGCACAATTTTGTGTCAAAGAGCCAAAGAAAATTCATAAACATTTTTCCATTAAGTATTCTTCTCAGAGGTGAAGCCTGATCAGTTACAAATGAATCCTCTTTCATAAACTCAACATTAGGAATATATCATTTTTACCATTTGAGGCCGTCTTGGCTATTTTTATCAACTACCATTAATTTCACATGTTCTGACAAAAGCAAGTACACTGTGGAAATTGTAAATCAAAATATTTGGGGGTGCTTGTCCATTCTCTAAAAAATATCTATATTTCATATCATTTGACAATACAATCAGAACATAATTGCCTTATCTAAGGAAAGGTGGTAATGCAATAGTAGAGCCCATGCTATGGATATAGTACTGGAAATCCAATTCAAACCCTGCCGTCCTTAGCCGTGGTAAGAAAGAACTATTATAACTGTTCCAATCATAAACGAAGCTGAGTTAGAACGACCAGTGAAATGGTTTGATAGGAGATTTTTTTTAGAGTGATACTTGTAGATTCTTCAGAGTGGAATCTTCATATAGATAAGCACTTGTTTATTGCTCTGCTAAGCCAAATTCATTTTGGAAATCAGAAACCAATGGCAGGCTACCAGGACCAAATCTACTTAACCTAAGTCCTTTATTATGAATATATGAATCTGGTGGTCTTAACACATATATCCTGGTTGTACAGTTTTTAAATTGTTATTTGCTTTAATTTGTTTTATATTGTTATTTGTATACATCTTTTGGTGTTGTTTAGTTGTATGTTGCGAAAGAGCACCTTATTTCATTGTTCTCAGGTTCCTGAGCACAATGACAATAAATTTATCTTATCTTATCTTATCTTATTAGTCACAAAAAAAAAATTCAGCCACAATTTCAGCAGGGAACCTGTTGATATTAAATGATTTGGAATGACAGTAGGCAATTCCTGGAAGCTTACAAGGCCTTCTAACAAATCAACCATTAACATACCAGTAAATCCTACTTTCATATCATTTAAAACCAACCCAGATTGGTAACATAGAGGGTGACAGATAAACAACCAAAAAAACCCACTCTTCCACATGTTGAAAAATGAAAAATCTGCAGAAATATAGCCAAAGTCAGAACATCAATAACCTAATTATTAGGCTTCTTCTGAATCTCTAGTGAATGTCTAATAGCTAGGTCTCACTGATGCCTAATTTCCTAAGGTTTCCAAGAAAAAGATTATAGAAGAAAAATTAAAATAGAAGCTGAAGCTACCAACCTGAAGCTTTGCATCAAATCTTCTCAATGGAAGAAGCATATCACAGATCAAATGACTATCACTTTAATTTGAGTCAAATTTGAAGTCCAAATCTTTCATACATTCCCCATTTTAAACACACACTAAATTTTATATTCACTGAAACTAATGTTCAGAATTTCTGCTTATGCTGTATACTGCACTAATATTTGTCCCTGGGAGGCTAACTATTAACATTGCTAGGTAGCTTTTGTATTTTCTTTGCTTTTAGGAGGCTCATCTTAATAACTTTGCAATAATTTTGTTGCTTTCTTTTGGTCATGTTGTCTTAAAACGTAAAGCAACTAAGAAGTGATGATGTTTACAAGATCTCCTCCCTTGTTAAATTCTCATGATATATTACAGAATTTAGTCCTTTTACATTTTGCCACTTCCCAGAGCTGGTTGCTATCTACAAGGGAGATAAATTCAACGTATTTATATCACCCTGCTGTCTTTAAATAAACATGACTTACAGGGTAGGTCTACCAGATAAGAAAACATGCAAGAGATAGACAACATTTAATTCCTCGCTGTCTTCTAATGCTTCCTGGATCTTAACAACCCAGATTGGTTTGCTTGTCTTTGCTCCTTTTCCTCATAAAATATAGTGTGGGCTTAAATTAAGGATTGTAGATCTAAGATCTCTTAAACTAGGTTCTCCTCAGGAGATGGACCTGTCCAGGGGATGATTTACTGCTGTTGTGCCCCATTTTCTTCCCTTACCTTCCTCCTGCTTCTCACTCTCAAGCAAGGCCATCACCTCCATTTCTTCATCAAATGACACCACATCATCCACATCAACCACTGTGGAAGTATGGATTTGGTTGCCTGCTTGAAGGGTGCTTTTGGTGTCCTTTTTAAATTTATTCTGATTGGATTGCTGCCTCTCTTTGTTGGCTTTCTGTCTGTGTGCCATCTTCTCTTTTTTGTTCCCTGAAGATGACTTCTCTCTGCTTCTCCCATGCTTCTCTCTAGAAGAGCTCCGAGACCTTTTTTCATCACTCATTGTGTTGTCTGCACTGTAGAAAGCAGCTCTACACGAGAAGGTGGGAGACTGTGCTGCCTAGAAATTTATGTTGCCAAAGGGGAGGGAGAGAGGGAGGGAACGTACAATGCAAGAGAAGAATCTTCATTCTCAGGCAGGGAGCTACTGGGACAGTCACACCAATCCTGAATTTCAGGAAGTATGGTAAGAATGGAAAGGTCGGCTGCAGCAAGGCAGTATGATATATTATAGAGCAAACTGAGAATGCAAGCTTATTATCGTAAGGAAAAATCATGGCCAAATTACTTTCCCCTTATTTGTATTCAGGACATCCAGATCTTACAAGATGAGGAGTGATACGGAAGCAAAATTCTCTATAAAGAGCTGCTGGCTAGATCTCCTTCTAGAACAATTCCCAAATCAAAGAATGTCAGTGTTAGTAGTATAATATACAGATTCTAGAATATACTAGGAAACGAACTAAGTGTAATCTTCAGAATGTACTCACAGGCTGCAAAGTCCCCTTCTCTCCAGAGGAATGCAATACCACTTAAGATTTAAACAGCCATACTTTTTGTCATCATTTAGGTCATTATCTCTTTCATGTATGGCTCTAGGACTTCTACTGCTATACCAGTGAATAGTAAATAAGATTGTCCCTGGAAAATAATAGCAGTTCTCTCTCATAAATACCCCAATTTGATGGATCTTGGTGTTAATACTGGTAAATTACCTGTATCAGGTAACTACCTGACTCACAACTGTAATGGAGACTGCCCATCATAGTCATTAAGTCATGATGATTGTAAAATGGATTACCACTTGACTGATGCAATTTTATTATCTTTTTTGTAGTCACTTTGCGAGTGTGGCAGTTATAACCAGGGGTGGGATTCTCCCAGTGTAACTGGAAACATGCACCGCTATTGCAATTACTTATCTTCAATATTACCTCAGGGAAGTAACACAGCTGAGGCGTGGCAATCCACTCTGCCATGTGAATCTGAGCAGATATAGACAAGTACAACGCAGGGGCAGGTGAGTGGGCCCACATGATAATTGGATCAAACCAGTTCAGAGCCAGCTGACCATCACAGTTAGGGGTTCGCCCAAACTGGTCCGAACCAATAGAATCCCACCCCTGGTTATAATATGGCAGCTGTGGTCATTAAGCAAATATACTGTGGTCATTAATCTATGGTTTGCAATGGGCCAGTTTTGCTAAAAACTGGAAGTAAAAATGGTTTTCAGTAAAAGCATTGTAAAACAGTCACACAGCAGTGCTGGATACTGCAAATGGCCATAAATGCAGACGTGTTGCTGAGCACCCAACGTGTGATCATGTGACCATGGGGTGAGCATGGCAGCCACTGCCAGAACTTCGGAACCAAGTCGTGAACACCCTGGGGAGGACCATCATAACTTTGAAGTTGCTAAGCAACCATTGTAACTCCAGGACTACCTGTAATGTCCCAAATGACATAGTACAGATGGGAAACCAAAAATGTTACACTAGTTTTCACACCAGTGTTGCTGTGAATATAGTCACTCTTTCATTTTTGCTACATGCAATTTTTTCTAAAATTGCTTTAATACACTGGTTTTACAATGTATACTTAATTTAAAACTCTGATATTTGAGAGAACTATTGAAGTACAGTCTTTTGTATTTTATTTGCAAATATAAAATATGGGATAACATATGATAATCTGATGTACATAAACAGACTAATGGTGTTCTCTATTCTTGACATCAGATATGTGTCTCAGCAGGCAATTATATACTAAAGCAATGGTAAGAAAATCTGCTAGAAATTGCTGAATAGTAACTCCCAGAAGTCCTAGCCAATATGACTAGTGAGGGAGGATGTTGGAAGCAACACTCCTGTGTAAAATATTTGAGGGTGATGAAGTCTCTGTTCAGGATTAGAACTACTGTTGGCAGAAATGTCCATCTGGATTCAGTTCCAAGCAGTGGTGGAATTCAATTTTTTTTACTACCGGTTCCGTGGGCATGGCTTATTTGGTGGGTGTGGCTTGGTGGTCATGTGACTGGGCGGGCGTGGCCAACTCATTGTCACTTACATCAAGGGGTTCCTCATCTGGCCCCTCCCCTCCCAGCCATTTCTTGTCACCCAGCCTCAACTTATCTATAGTTCTGTAAAAATGTTGTTCACCTTTTTTGACTTTATTATCTGCATACTATAGATGTACTTTCATGGACCACTGAAAGGAGGAAATGGCTCACATGCTTTACTCAAGAGTGTGATAGGCAACAGGCTTTTAAGGGGCTGCCACAAAGAAAGGGGGACAATGTACTGTATTTTCCAAAGAAGCAGAATGCAAACAAGAAGCAATGGATGGAAACTGAACAGAGAGAAGCAACCTCAGGAGAAACTTCCTGAGAGTGAGAACAATTAACCAGTGGAACTGCCTATCTCCAGAAGTTCTGCATGCTCCAAAACTGGAAGTTTTTAACAAAAGACTGGACAGCCATTTCTCTGAAATGCTATAAGGTTCCCCCCAAGGTCCCTTCTAAGTGTTATTCTGACACCTTTCCCAGGATTTCTACTCAGAGTTTGGCATCCTCAGTTTTCTTGCCTGAGCTGGGGGTTGGACTAGAAGACCTCCAAGGTCCCTTTCAACTCTTGTTAAACACATGTGTATTTTATGCTCTGGACTATTGACATTGAATGCATGTAAACCCTGAAAAATATGTGGTAGCCCTGGGCAAAAGAAAGACAGAAAAATCACTCTAGGTGTAGGGACAGTGTAAAATATTAACACATGATAAATAATGGAACAATTAAAAATAATAGCACAGAGTTTTATCTCTCTCTCTCTTCCTATTTTTTTTCTTTCTTTCTTTCTCTCCCTTCCTCTTTCTCTCTTTCTCTCTCTCTCTCTCATACATACATACACACACAGCACTTAACAGACAAGCATTTTGGAAGCAGCTCCTTTAAATTTCTCCAAGGCTGGAGTGGATTCCCCCCACCCCCTCTGTCAGCCTGCACTCCTTCTCACTACAGACACTTTAACTCACATGGGGAAAGCGATACTTGCAGCATCCATGCCTTTCTTCTTTTCCCCAGGGAGAAAGGACGTAGTGAACGGAAAGCTAGGAGAGCGATCGCAAGTGAGCGACCGGGTGACCAGGTTGGGGGCGTGGCCAGCCAGGGGTCACCACCGGTTCGGCGACCCATGCCAAATAACCGCTACCGGTTCTCCCGAGTATGTGCAAACCGGTTGAATACCACCTCTGGTTCCAAGTGGGGAGAAAGATACTGGAAACATGGAGGATATTTGGAACGATGATTTAATGGACAGGACCCCATGGTTTGAGGTCCAAGGCAAAAAAGAGTGCATGGCAGAGAGAGGGAGAGAGATTTATAACCTCTGTTGGGCTTTGAACTTACTTCCCGTTCCTGTGGCAAGAAATGTATCCTGATTGGTTGTCAGACTCCCATGGGGCCATGCAGGGGTAACTTTGTAGGTTGTCTTGAGTCCCAAGCTTGGTTGAATCTTGCTGGGTGATGTAATGAAGGGGCTTTGGGCAATTCCTATTATAGCTTAATGGCTTTGTCCTTGTTTGGATCTGAGCGAGGGCTAATCCTATCACCCTGGAGCTGAAGGTCCTTTGTGTTGTAGATAATATGTATTTTGTCTTTCTGGGGCTATTAACAAAGGTGGGGGGGGGGTTGCCTTCAAGAGCATGTTCCTCCTTTTCTCACCCAGGGAGGTATAATCTACCTTTTTAATATTTCCTAGAATATTTCATTCTTCTAGGAGAGGGGTGGATGCTAACTTTCTACACTGCAATTCATTCATTCTTGTTATTTCCATTACATCGAGATTCCAATGTCCATGTGTAAGATTAGTTTTTTTAAATTAGCACTGTTAATACTACTCATTCTGAAATGCTGATGGTGAAAAGGAAGAAAAAGTGAATTTAAGGAGGCAATAATCCATGTTTTTCTTCCTCACTTGGATTCCTTTGTAATTAGAAATCTGTGCCACTAGGCTATTATAAGCATAAGCATTAAGAATCCCAAGTACTTTGTTTAAAAGCAAGTTAAAAGGGAGTTTTGTTCATTTCTTTAAAAAATGTTGATAAACAATTCAACTGGTACTCAATTGGTACATTTCATGAATCTAAGCTGAATTTAATTTGAATATCCATTTAAATGCACTAAGGAATTATTTAAAATATGGTAGGGTGTAACAGAGAGCTGAGTTATTATAATATCAGGGCTTGTCCATATATATTCTAATTTACTGTCTGGCAAAGTATATATATATAAATCTACAAACACACACACACACATATTTGATAACTATTACATCAATTATTACTACTATAGTAATTTTAAAGAAAAAATGAGTAGACATACTGGGAAATTCCAAGGGATGAAAGCTGTACTTGTTCTGATCATGAAGCTGGTGTTTCTCATACTTCTTTACATGGTTGAATGTATTGGAATGTTGAGCTCTGCTACATTTTCATTTTGCTGCAGTTATGTAGCAGGAATTTTAGAGATGTTTACTTTCACAACAGCTTTTGCATATCACCTACTTCCAATCTTTGCATCCCACCAAGCTACCTAAAATGCAACTCCAGAATGGAGCTCAGCTGTTTTCAGAAAAGAGAAACACTATAAATGGTAATCTAACACCCAGAAAGAGAGTTCTTGGTAAATTCAACATTTCCTCATATATTACTTTTAACACTGATTAAGGCAATTTCGAAAAGGATTTGCAGGTCGAAACTATGTGCATTTATTTGCTGAATTACTGAAAGAATGCATTCAGAAATGTATCTTAAAGGTCAGCTTTGAGGTCCATAATTGGATAAACGTGACAAAGCAGCCCTGAAGATGGTTTTTCCTTCTCCACTCTTTAACACAAATTACACATGCTGTTAACTGTGGTGGAAAAAAGGTCACTCCACAATGACTCACAGCACCTTCAACCTAACCTAACCAGAGCAAGGAAAGCAACCAATACAACTTGACCTACATGGAAGGGAAAAAAAGAAGTATAGAAATAAGTGGCCTTTAACCAGATTTCAGGCAGAACTCCTCTGCCACTAAGGCAGAAGAAGGGGTTGAAATTCTGAAATTCAAAATTAACCATGCCAGTCATCAGATACCCCGTGGATATAGTAAGCAGGCCGAAAGAACTGGAGGGTGCCAATTAGAAGACCCAGAAGCATCTCTCAATGTACAGAGCTTTCCATCCCAAATCTAACACCCAGAGACTTGTACTCCAGATAGAAAAAGAGCAGGATCAAAACCACTGTCCTGGATAAAATCCAGAGCATCCAGGAGTATATCAGTAAGATGGCACCCAAAGATTAGTTGCTGGGGGAATGTCTGAGCAGAAGACATGGGAGCTATGGAAGATATGGGATATGGGAGAAAGATCAAGCAGAGAAAAGACAAGATCCTGCATGGTGCAGGGTATGTCAAAATTTTCAACTTTCAAATTTCCAAACATTAGGGGTGCTCAAAATTTGTGACATGCCTTGGGGAATGTAAATATATTTTTGTTATTTTAATATAATTTAGATATACTTGGTAAATGCATAAATATAACTTTTTAAAATTTTTTCATTTCACAGGTTCAGCTGTCTTTCTCTTTTTGTTAAACACAGTTTTGTCTGAGATTGTTATTACTGCTGGCCTTGTTTCCTGTGAGTGTTCTATAATGGCTTCTAAAAAGAACAAGACTGGGAACATTCACTCATAAGCAACCTAAGTGGGACTGGCAGACTTATTACCATCTGAATTTCCAACACTGCAAGGCATTCTCAGATATGGCCTAATGTTAAGAGAACAAAATAGTGATGATGCTAAAAATTATATTAACAAACAGCTGAGCTGGTTTTCATTGGGAAATCCTTCCAATGGCTAGAAAGGACTGGCCAAAAAGACAACCTGAGGCATTGAACATAGCAGCATGAGAGCAGGCATTAAAGCACAAAATCTATACAAGCAGGAATCTACAGCACTAGACAGGATCTGCTGTTCAGTCTATGCAGAGAGGCCTCAAAAGACAGTCCAACACATAATGGAAGGATATAAGACACAGGCAGGAAAAGCATGCACTGAGAGGCACAACCAAGCAAGTAGGCATTGTGTACAGGAACCGTTTAAGTGTATGGACTAGACCCTCCCAAGTCCAGATGGGAGATTCCATAGAAGGTCATTAAGAATAAAAGGGCTAAGATCCCATGGGACTTCCAGATTCAGACAGACAAGGCAGGTCCTGACCCATCAAGCAGACATTGTGGTAGAAGACAAGGACCAGAAGACAACAGCACTAATAGATAGGAGTTGCAACATCAGGAAGGAGGAGTATGAAAAGGTAGAAAACTACCAGAGCCTGAAGGAAAAACTAGAGAGTGTGTAGAAAGTAAAGGCCAAAGTGGTCCCAGTGGTGGTAGGAGCTCTCAAAGCTGTGCCTCCCAAAGTAGGAGAGTGGCTTCAACAGATCCCAGGACATTGGAGCTCTCTATTGGAAGAGTTCAGTGCTACAAACAACTAAGAGACTGCGCAGATCCCTCCAACTCCCAGGCCACTGATAGAAGATTCCAGATTGAGGAAGACACAAAATATGTGTGGGAAGGGAATTTTGTTTACACTTTTATGCACCCACACCCACTCTTCCCCCTAAACATATACAACATATACATCTACCTATCTGTGTGGTTGCTAGGATTCAAAAACAATTTGATGAGCTATAATTAATAACAATAGCACTTAGGCTTATATACCATTTCACAGTGCTCTAAGTGGTTTTACAGGCAGTATATTCCCCCCCCCCCAAAAAAAAAACACAATCTGAGTCCTCGTTTCACAGACCTCGGAAGGATAGAAGGCTGAATCCTGGTGAGATTCGAACTGCCAAATTGATGGCAGCCGGCAGAAATAGCCTGCAGTACTGCACTCTAACCACTGCGCCACCACGGCTCTTCATTAAACTGGCCCAGGTGATTGTCACGATTTTTTTTTAGCCCTCAGCTCCCCCTCAAAAAAACAACACCTGACCCTGAGAACTGCTTGAGATACAGAACGCCCTTCCCTCCCTTTCCTTCCTGTATATCCATTCCTCTCACACCAAGCGTCCGCTGGCGAACCTTCCAAAATCCGAAGCCGCGTCGGGACGCCCAAGCCCTCAGCGCGAGCCTTTTAACAGCTGAGCCAAATGCGCAGGCGACCTTTTCCCCTCCCCTCCCAAGTGGCCTTGACTGGTTTTCACAGAGCGGACTCTGGTTTAAAAATATATATATCCTCCTCCAGCTTGCTTTTTTCCTTGAGAAAGGAAGCTGAGCGAACGCGCTGCACGTGCTCCCGAACTGAGCGTGCGCAGCTGGCTTTGGGCTCGAGTCTAGGCGAAGCCTACGGGAGGGAAGGCCTTCGGAGCGGGCCAGAGTGTTGGTTGTGGAAATCTTTTGGACGCTTAAAACCAAGGCGTCGCTACGGGAGCAGGTGGGAAGTTCTTTGGGAGAGGAGGGTTGTAAACCTTGAGAAAACCCAAGCAAACGATATTTGTAGATGGGACCTTGCTTGGCGGAATATCCCCGCAGCCGCAGACAAATCTCCCAAGTGTAGAACTGGCTTGTATGCGGGGAGTCTTGGCTACAACGGTACTATTCGAAGAGTCCTCCTTGAAAGCCAACGGCATTAACTTAAATTGGAGTTGCTTCTCAGAAAAAAATGGAGAATTGCATAAGAGGCTTTCGGCTGGGGGGTGGGAGATGAAGAGCGTTCAGTTTTGTGAATCCCACGTGCGTGTTTGAAAAGCAGCCTCTTCATCTACCAGCGCAGTCCCAGTTACGAACTTCCCACCTCAGTAAAGAAACTCAGTTACAGTCGGCTAAATATTGGCTTAGTTTTATCATATGAATTCATTCCACAGTTTTTACCGCAGTTGATTGTGCAAAGCCAGAAAATTAGTAAATGTGACATCGTGTAAATATGGCTGCACGGGGACATGCTCTTGTATTTTTGGCCAGAATTAAACAAGTGCAGAGTGGGGTGATCTGAACCGGTTATTTTTTAAAAACTGTTTGGTCTATCCTAAGCTCTTGGCAAGAGGGAGTAGAACATGAATCAGTTAAAAATCTTAATGCCCAAGATTTCTTTCATAATCATACAAATAAATATAAAAAGGTTATAAATACAGCTATAGAAGCCATTCTACAGAATGAGTGTATCTAATGAAGAAAGTTTAATCAGATTTTGTTTAGGGTTTCTTGTATTTTGTAATTTCTATATTACTGGGTTTTAAAAAAAAAAATTTGTCCAATTAATATAGCTGCCAATCTCACAAACAAGTGAGTCATTAATGGTGGCTCACAAAAGTATGTATGCTCAGTTTAAGGTTACTGAGTGATCTACAGCTTTATACTTTAATACATTTGTTTCATTGTTTTAATAAATTGGAGTTTTTGGTGCTCATTGTGTGCACACATATCCATCCAATCACTTCAGGCAGGGTTTTAAAAATGGTAGCTAATATAATGGAGATAAAAGAGTGATGTCAACTTTTCACATGGAATTTTGTATAAAACCTTTTCTTCCCTCTGTGGTCTGCTCATAGACTGCTCTGCTTACAAATGATGTAAATATGCTTTTTCATTCAATATTGCCTTTCCTCTATACCAGGGCTGTCAAATTCGCGGATGCATCAGGCGCTGGCCACGCCCACACCAGGTTTAGCAAAAAAGAAAAAAGTTGCATACGTCACGTGACACCACCGTGACGACGTGAGTTTGACACCCCTGCTCTATACCAACTCCCCCTCCCAAAACAGCAAATCAGTCCTGTTTTATAGCCTAGCATACTATGGTAGTAGAGTAATAGTATTAGTGTTCTATTTATTTATTTATTTTTATTTATTTATTTGATTTGCCAATTGTTTACAAGATAATAAGTATAAATGTATACATAGTTGTGAATACATGAAATGGTTACATATAAGAAAAATAAAAGAATAAGAAAAACAATAGGACAGGGACGGTAGGCACGTTGGTGCGCTTATAATATAATGTTAAAGATATTTAGAATGTATAGACTTTTAATGGAAATATTCAACACAAGTAAAAATATTTATTTTCAGGAGGAGAGAACTATGGTTAGATTGCACTTGTAGTGCTAAAAAAATAAAAGGAATTTCTCGAAGCAAATTGAATTTTTTTTAAATGGAACTTTTTCTTTAGAGTCGAGATATTACTGTCTTTTTGATCACTATCAAAAAGATACTACTATATTCTGGCATTTCTCTATTATAGTTCTACTATTAGAAGCTGTAATAGTGGCTTATACTAAGAACTACTGCTTACTACTATAGATAGTCCTTAGTTAACAATGGTAATGGGTAATTGGGATGAGAATTTCGATTGCTAAGCAATATGGTTATATCCTGGCACTCCTCATTGCCATTGTTAAGAGAAGAAAATGAGTTATTAGGTGAGTTCAAGGCAGCTTGTAAAAAGAATAGAGCTGTTGCCAGGTGTAGGCAGGTGTGCATTTGGCTATTGTAAGAATGATAGGGCTGGGTGTGACTTTACTGGGTGACCTGTGACTATCCTTGCTGACTTTTCTGTTGACTTTGCTTGTGGAAAGTTCAGCAGAGAACATTGAAAGTGGCCATTGACTGTGGGATGCTGCAATTGTCATGTGAGTTGGTTGCCAAGCACATAGATAATTTCATGTGAATTCAGGGTAGACTGTATCTCAAGAACCAGTTCTAAATACCATTCATTTAGCCCCATCTGTAACTTTGAATAGTTGATGAATGAGTGTTTGTTAAATTAAGATTATCTGTATTTGTGTTCTTCTATTGCATCTTGACCACAGGTAAAGTTCTATGGTTCTGCTATCATAGGAAATACTATTTTTTGTCTTTTTCATTTTGTCAGTGTAAACATGACAGATCAAGAACAACAAATGAACTCACTGAAGAAAGAAGTGCGGTCACTGTTGACACCTATCAAAGAAGGTCTTACCCCTTGCCAATTAGAACAAGAATATAAGTTAATGATAGGAAAAATGCTTCCATTGCGTATGTTAGGTTACCATTCTGTTATGGAACTAGTGAAGGACATGCCTGATACTGTTCACATATCTCCAAAAGGAGATGGTTCTGTTATTCTCAAAGGTGGGTTTTATTTTAATCTGGTAAAAGTAATGTTTAAAAAGTATGTGGATATTTTTAAATATGTACAGCATTTTAGACTTGTGATATCTTGCAAGCCTTGATCATTATGACAAGCAAACAGTAGCAGGGTTCTTGCCAAACTGTGTTGTGCATCTAATAGATTGAAAATAGTTTGTGTTTTCCTCTACTCTTTTTTAAAATCATGATTTTATCTTCAGCTAATAAGGGCTTTCAAAACAGTTCAAACGTGAATTGTAAAGGTCAAAAGCCCAAAAAGGTGGGAGAGAAAATTGCAAATGAAACAAAGTAGAAAGCTGTGGGAGTGTTTGTTTTAAAAAGTTCAATAATGCTAGACTTAAGAGTGGGAGGTTATGACCTGTAAAAATTAGAAAAATATCTGTGCCTGCAGAATGCAAACTGTAGGAATTAGTACTATGAAAATAAAACATCATTTTTTCTGTCTTTTCAGCTATTGCTGATGAATCTACGAAAAGGATTGCAAGCTTGGTTGCCAGACAAAAGAGCAGATCTAAGCCACAACATTCCAAACATAATCGGAATTTCTTTTTGCCTTCCACCATTTGCTCTCAAGTGCCTTTGCACCCCAAACATTCTCTAAGTTTGCCTCGGCATGAGGGAGGTCCTCCTATTCTGCCCCCTGTTATAAAAAGTGAGCTGAAGGAAATGCTGAGATTTTCTCCAGTTTTGCTCTCAGATTTTGACAAAGCCTTTACCCAACGCTTTGGACGCAAGTTTGAATTTATGCGTTATGGATTCTTCTCAATGTTTGAAGTGCTGAATGCAGCTTCTGATATTATCCAAATTGTGCAAACAAGAGCGGGTTCTCTGGTGACTTTAAAAGAATGCCCTCTTATGAAGCAACCAGAAATGACAGAGTGTAAGACAGTGTTTATTTATATTCAACTGAAATGTGAATGTTTATATTTAACTGGAATATATTTATCACACTTTGCTGGAAAATACATACCGTAGTGATTGAGGCTGTAGTGGTGTTTTCCCTTCTGTGAGCATGTACTTTGTTTGAGATGATAAATACAAGCATTCTTGGCTGTACCTGGAGGAGAAATAGCAATAATAGAATTGCGTAGTGCTTCTTTAGGTTGAAGCTTCCAGCAGCTGACTAGATTCACAATAGGAAGATTAACTTAGGTTAAGGCAAAGAAAGGTATATTTATTACAGTAGTCTTTGTTGGAAGGTTGGTTGGTTGGTTAGATTTATGCAGATCATGACAGTTATATATATCGATACAGACATGAATCTGCATATGTTCGTTGTCCCAACTGTTCTTCTGGTGAATTGCTACTTAGAAAAACATTGACTGGCTTTAAATAGAAAATGGAGATGTGTGTAATTACTGCCGACATTTTTATCCTGGCTTTCTTAAGGCAAAATGGCAGTCAAGTCATGTGAAACAGAGCAAACTTTGCATGCTGCTGCACAAGAACCTGTGGCAAGGATGCCTTCTCCAGTCCTACCTATGGATGTTCTGTGTTCAGTCGCAGACCAGAAATCTGATGATTTGCAAATACGGATGAAACTAGTTGAAAGTCCAAAAGTGAGAACTGAGGTGAGAATAGGACAAGTAAGAAGTAAAAGCAGTATACCTAGTGAAGGATGCATTTAGATCATAGAAATTCTCTATCATGGAATGCCTTTTCATTTTATACAGCAAATCATCAGAAACTGATTGTGAAATCAATTTTAAATATTACTCTCAGCCAAAATCGTGTGTGTGTACATACATATACATATAACTTTCCAATGCAGCTATAATCCAAATGAACAAGTCCCACTCCTGATTTATAGTATTGTCCATTTTTCATAAATCAAGCGAATTAATGCAATCAAAGTAAGAAATATTTATCTATTCATTCATTCCTATAGATCAGTGTCTCTTATGTTTTATTTGAATTGGCTATTTAAAAATTGTGAAAACATTGTTTTGGCCAAGAAATGGATTCCCATAAACTCCCATCCTTATCATTAGGGGGGAGATATTTTAAATGGTCTTAGTGGGTATTTCCAGATATTTGGGACCTTGCTGCATGTACTGCTGACTTAAGTTCTGCCAGTATGTTACCTTTGAAGATATACAGCCATTGACAAAAAAAGTTAACACTTCAAATTGTATCAGTAGTGGAAAAGCTGTGGTGCTGTTTCTGATGCTGAATTACATCTTTAGCATCATTCACCTTCATCCATGGGGTTCTGGAAGTTGTAGTTTACATTTAATCTGTGAAGATTAAATGGTTAATATAAAGTAATGTGAGAATCCTTATGGACATTGGATTATCTATCTTTAAACATCCTTGGACAGTATAAGGATCCTAAATCCTATCTTTTTAAGCAATCAAGAAAAGTTCTGGGGTGCCACACAATATTCAGAGAATAAGTCTGTTTTCTAATTATTCCTGGGCTAAAGGGTAGGAGGAGTTACTAGTTTAGCTTTCAACATTTATTTCTGCTTTATTACAAAAATGTTCACATTTTTGTATGAACAATTTATTCTCGGCAGTTTACAAAAAGAAATAAGAGAAATATATATATACAACTTTTTAATATAAATAATTTAAAATAATTATTAAGAGAGAGAATACTAAAGTAAATGTATGTTGAAATAAAGTTATCTTGCATATATAAATCTCATTTGAATAAGCCCTTCTCTTCAAATTTCAGCCTAATCTAAACATATATCTAACTAACCTACATTTGATTAATAAAAATAATATCTTACTTCTCAATATTGTTACCTCACATAAAAATTGAAAGAGTTAAAAAAATGCCTGAAAAGAAAGTTCCTTTCTACCTGCTTATCACTGCAATCCAAAAGTTGTATCTTACCGTTCTCCCCTCAACCAACAAATGCTATTAATTACTAATTAACTAGTATACTGATTTACATAACTATTTACATTTCTTTGTATTAGCATTGTATTAATTATGTATAGAAAGTATTAAATTTTAACAAAGATCCAAATCTTTATGTTACAACAGGTATTAATAGGTTTCTTAGCCAAGTCTCTTCATTAAAATTAAGTTTTAGATTAATGCATATGTTTAAACACTTGTTTTTATTGTAAATGGATAGTGCAAACATTTAATTATTTTTTTTCATAAAATACTTGAGATATAGAATTTTGCAAAAACAAAAGTGTTTTTTATAAGCACTTGTACTTCCTTTCACTTTCACTTCCCCCCCTCAAAGCTCAAGAAAGAAATTAAGAATGTCCTGTCCCAAAAAGGACCTGGAGGAATAGTCAGCTCAGAACTTAAAGAAAAAATTAAAACTGTAAGTACTTATTCTGTTTGGCTGTAATTTGTATTTTGAGGATAACAACCCAGAGAACATAGATAGGATCCATTCAGTGATAAAGCGAAATGCTTCAAACTTAGTGGGGAAAAAATTACCGTATTTTTCAGTGTATAAGATGCGTTCCCCCCCCCCCCCAAAGTAGGTCGAAATGTCTGTCTTCTACAGTGAATGTTGCTGAAACCCCGCCTACCTGCTGGCCCCCACCCTTAAGCCTTTGCCTCCCAACAATTTTTGCCTCCTTGCAACAAACAGCAAACATTTCTACATCTATCACTGAAAGGATATTGAATTCCTAGATACAATAGCATCAGTTGACATACAAGCAATATTTGTTTGCAAATTCTCATAATTAATGTGAATTTCCTCAAATCTTTGTTTAACAAAATCCAAGAATTGTTTTAAAAACCATTATTTTTTAAAAAAATTATAAAATGTTAATATTTTTCTTTTGTTATATGTAACAAAATTGAATTTTTTGTTAAAATCTTTAACAAAGTTGAAATTTCTTTAACATCAATAAATAGCCCTTTTAGCATATAACTTTAATAGGTATCTTTTTTGACATATATTTCATAGATGGGTTTATTTTATTTAGCTTTTTAAGCAAGTCTTGGTTCAGTTTCACCATCTAGGATATCTCTTACATTTGCTCTTTGGATCTCACATATCTTTTCCATAGAAATCATATACGAGTTCTGGAAATTTCTATAGGTGCATTTTGAACAAAAGAGTGCCCTACCCAGTCTTTTTAAGACTGGTGAAAGTGCACCAGGACTTGCACCCAGTGTGCTGATAACCAGTGGGACTACCATGGCAGATTTGTGCCACAATCCATAAGAAGTATTACTGTGATCCAGTATTAAGTTGCACAATCAGCCAGATATTCAGACTGGATTTGGCATTTTTATCCACCTATTGAATCTTTCTGGAGCACCTGGGTTAAGGAGATGTTGTTTGATGGGATTAAAGGTATCATCACGGGATGTTCCAAGTAAATTATCATCATCATCATTTATATCCTACTTTTATTTGTACAACTCATAATGCTCCCATCCTCTAATTTTCCCCACAATAGCTAACTTGCTTAAATAAGTTTTTTCTGTTTGGGCCAAAGTTGTAAATAAACTTAACAATCGCTCTGTGATTTATTTTTAAGATTGTATCCCAGTACCCAAATGGCCTCCATGCTTCCAAGTTACCTGGAGAATTTGAGGTAGTGATTGTTTGTTTATTCAGATTTACTTTTGTTTACTGCCTTTTACGCCTGCAAGCATTATCTTTCTCTCATTCTATACCACAACTGTTGGAACAAATAGGAGAGTATATACTCTAGACTAGTGCAATATTTAACCCCACTACATGGTTTTCTAGTATAAAAAAACAGTAAATACATACCATCACCTGACAGTGTACATGCAGATAATGCCAGGTGCAAAGACACTGAGGCTCATAATTCTTGGTTTCATATACTTCTTCCTGTATGTTGTGAATTTTTATTTGGAAATAATATAGCAACAGTAATAGCAAAACAGGTTTGTTATTCAGTTGTCACTTTAGATCCTGGTATGCAAATTCATTTTCTAATGTTAGCTAAGTTAACTAATTTCTCATTTAATCATTCTTGTAAATTTAGCCATGGATTTCTATTTTGATTTCTAAGATTTTTTTTGTCTTTAGGAGTATTTTCATGAAAAATTGGCAGTAAGAAAGCTGGGTTTCTTAAATTTGATGGAACTTATTGGTGCCCTTAATGATGTTCTCCGTATTGAATGCAGAGAAGGAGAAAAAGATTGGCTCATCTTTGACATTGATTCACAAAGCTTACCAGATGGTAAGTGGAAATCCTAGGTGCAAAAATCTTCCAGAAAAATGGGCCCCTTTACTTAATTTAAATATATAGATTTTTAATTTAGTATTTAAATATTTGCAATGTAATTAATAAAAATGTTTACCTACATTCTTACGGTATAGATGCACTTTTTCCAATTGCTGAGGAACCTGTATTGAATTATGGTTTCAGTGTGCCATTAAATTGAAAATTGAGTTAGTGACTGTTCTGGGCACACAATATGTTGTATATATGTTTACAATGGGAAGTTGCAACGTGTATCTGTTTGTTCTATTGAAAACAATTTTAGTTCCAGCATGGAATTCTCCATTATTATACACGTAGTAAAATTTATTTATTTATTTATTTATTTGGAAAATTTATATTTCCATCTACTTGGTCACAGTGACTCAAGGTGGCTTACAGAAAATAAAAACACAATATAAAATAAATAAAAATAATAAAACAATATCCCCCACCCCCGTGACAATGCACACTCATACCAGCCATTTAATGGGCTATATCCTACTCTGGGTTCCCTGGGCCCTTTGGAGAACCATATATTAAGGGCCTTCCAAAAGAGTGTGAGTGGAGGCCAGTCTAATTTCCAGAGATAGAATGTTCCAGAAGGAAGGAGCTTCTAGGGAGAAGGCCTTTCTTCTGGATCCTGCCAGATGTATCTCCTTAGGGGATGGGACCTGCAACATTCCTTGCCTCCCTGCTGTAGTGGGTTGGGTGGATGTGACTGTAAGAGACAGTTCCTCAGATAACCTGGTCCCAAGTCACGAAGGACTTTAAAGGTGACAAGGGGTTTTGTGATACTTATTAGAGAGGCTTTGTACACTTAAATGTTCTTGCATATGAAATTGCTCTAGTTGCGTAGCCTACTTCAGAATAGAGATGAAACATGAATCAAAGCTAGTTATAGCTTGTATTTCTGTTTTTCACTAAAATCAGACAAATTAGGTGTCATAAAGGTTAGGTATGAAACTCAAATTTTTAAAGCTTTAATAGCTCAATGTAAATAATGTTATGGTTTTATGTTTTACAGTTTTCATAGTTCAGGTTTGTTTATTGTTATGCGCCACACAAAGTTGTGTTTTAAGAAGGGTTACTGTACAAATAATTTAAAAAACTAAATAACATCCCCCAGGTATGACTTAACATGGTTTTTTGGGGGGCAGATAAAAATCAGAGGGCTACAAAGAGAACTCTGTGCTTCTGAAAAAAAATTTGTGTTCTGCATTTTCGAATGCAAAGAACACTAGGATAGGCATGAGTTTCACTAGAAAATCACTGCAGGAGTTTGGAGTGTATGTCCCACTGAATTTTCTTCTCTAAAATTAAAACAGCCAGATTAAGCAGTGTTGTTTAAAAATGTATAATTTATAACAGGGTTCTTTGGGCCAATATTTATTGTACAGCATTCTTGAGTACAAAATTTTCCTTATTTTCGAATGAAAATTTCAGTGTGTTCTAATATAAATCTATATTGTTCCTACAGAAGAACAAAGAAATGGTAAGATTTCTCAGTCTGATGTATTAGCATGCCAGGAGGCCACTGAAGAACACGACCTGCCCACTTGGGATTCCCCTTCTGAGGATTCTCTGAAACTGGAGACTAAGTTCCATGTAGTAACAAAGATGGTAATGCCGGTACGGTGATATAATAATAATATATGTTTCTATATAAAAGAGCATTTAACTTTAAATAAATGTAATATAACCAAAGTTGCATAGAGCAATAACAGCAATAAAATCCAAGAGCTGAAAAGGCAGAGAAAATAAAAATGGCTTTGCCTGACTTCAGAGTGATAGTGACAAGGGTACCAGATAAATTTCTGGGACGGTGTTTACTATGTGAGCACCACCACTTAAAATATCAATTGCTGTACCCAATGCCAGTCAGTGGGGCCTCTAAAGAAAACTCAAGATCTAGTATTCATTTGTACAGAGAAGTAATCTTTTGGTACTCTGTACTAGAGATGAAAATGGAACGCGGTGGCTCAGTGGTTAAGACGCTGAGCTTGTTGATCAGAAAGGTTGGCAGTTCGGCGGTTCGAATTCCTAGTGCCGCGTAACGGAGTGAACTCCCATTACTTGTCCCAGCTTCTGCCAACCTAGCAGTTTGAAAGCATGTAAAAATGCAAGTAGAAAAATAGGGACCACTTTGGTGGGAAGGTAACAGCATTTTGTACGCCTTCGGCGTTTAGACATGCCGGCCACATGACCATGGAACGTCTTCGGACAGCGCTGGCTCTTCAGCTTTGTAACAGAGATGATCACTGCCCCCTAGATCCGGAAATGACTAGCACGTATATGCGAGGGGAACCTTTACCTTTATCTTACTAGAGATGAAGCCGCAAAATGAGGAAAAGACGGGTGCTAAATTGGTTCCAAAATTGAATGGAGCTATTGAAGTACCGGTACTGCATATTCATATTTTTCAATTCTATTTAGTAATATCAATCGTATTTTTAATAATATGACATTGCTAATGCACTTCCAAGGGCTGTGTGTAGTCCAAATGAGAATCTATTAAGACATGATTAACTGAAGCCAGGCTATAATCTATCCTGGGATGTTTGTGTGCATTTGTGATAGATTAGGTGGTTTTGGCTGGGAAAAAAATGTTATAACTCACAGAGGCTACTTGTTTTCTAAGGGACAAAAATAAATCATGAAAATTACCAGACTGTGAATCTGGTCCTTCCGAGAAAACACATTTTGTCTATGACTGATAAAGCTTTATTAATATGGACAATCAACTGTTTCAAGGTCTTTAACCTTATCTATGCTGAATATCTTTTTTAGTCTCATAAAATCCATTACTATTTCCATGTACTAATTTAGCTTACCCAATAATTAAATTAGATAAAAAGGAATAAAATGATTGTTTAGACTAATGATAATTTAACTCCAAATCAATTCAATACTTCCAAGATCCCTAAACATATCTCTTGGAAAAATTGAACAGCAATGTCTCAGCATTCCTTCTTGAATTTACAACTGAAATAATATAATCACTGAAAAATTCTGAGAGCCCAACTTCTCCAATGGATTTTTCAAAATATATCAGTGTATTCCAAAGATGAGAGGATGCATCAATGAGACTGAGTTCTCACATTATTTTCCTGGCAAAAATTATTTCAGGAAATGTGCAAAATTGAGCCTAAACTCTGATTGAAAAGTTAAAAAAAAGTTTCATTTAAGAGTACTTGAAATTGACTGGCACCCATTGTAACCAATAATTAGTTCTATTGCTTCCTTGAAAAAAAAAGGGATAATGTTGGTGTGAAGAGTTTTTAGATATTAAGATTCTCATACCTTTCAAGATGTGTATTCTTCCACTGATTTAATGCCGATTTTTAAATTTGTTCATGCTATTTTATGCAATCCTTTCTATTTGTTAAATGATATATAAAATGAAGGTGGGAGATATCTGGATGATGGAGAAACTTTAGGGATATCTTTTGCAAATTATATCCAACTTACAAAAATAAGGCAGGCAACACTATTACATTGGAGACAAATTCCTTGTGTGTCTAATCATACTTGGCCAAGTAATTCAATTCAAATTTCTGTGTATATGTGTATTGTAATATAATGGAGTATACACAATTCAAATATAAAGAGGTCACAAAGATCACAAAGCTCAAACATCACAATGAAAAATTTGAAAGAATAGTGTGACTTCCGGTTTGAACTACTTCGGCGACAGACCGAAACCTCGTCTCTGCGAGGCTTTGATCCGTGCTTGCCGCTGGAGCGCCCCGAGCCGGCTGGTTTCGGGGCTAAGCCACCCCATAGAGGTGGTGAAGAAGGGGGAGACTGCCTGCAGGGTTGAGGAGAGCCGCATCTCTCCTCCCCAGCTGGCCATTACTCCCTTTCCCGAAGGCGGTTGTAGCGGTGGTCAGAAATGGCCACCACAAAGAAGAACTCGACCGGAAAAGAATGTGCAGGAGGAAGATAAGAGAAAGTTTTGGTTGACTGGGTCAAACAGCAAAAGCAACAAATAAGGTACCCTGGAATTGAAACTATTAAAAAAAAACAATAACATTGTTCCCTAAGAAGATTTTTAAGCTGCGAAGGAGAGAGAAAAGGGAAAATATTTGGTTTTTTTTTCTCCTTTTCCTATACTGACAGCTAAGAGACTTAAGCAAGAAATTGGGAAAAAATCCACTTTGACATTAATAGGTATTTAATGCTGAAAATAAAAAGTCAAAGGGATAATAAAGATTTCTGGATAATCAAAAGCTTTTGAAAACAGAAAAGGAGAGAAAAAGAATAAAAGGGAAGGGAGGAGACTGCCTGGAATTAAAAAGAACTTACAGCAAAATTTCAACAAGACTTCCAAAAGATACATTTTAATTGAAATATCGCAACAAAAACCCCAGGAAGAGAAAGTGGAAAAAGAAATAAGAAGAAATAACTTGGGACTATTTGGATTACTTGATGATTTCTGGATTTTTGGTTATTGTGTTGAATGACTAAAATCAATTGGGTGGCTGTTTAAAACTGTTTAAAATGACTCCACTTTTAGAAGAACTGAAAATGGAACTTAGAAAGTACAAAGAAGATGCACAAGAAGGGAGGTTCTTTTGGCTTCGTATTTCAGTTTTTAGAAATGGAGATTTGGAACTATGAGAAACAACAAGAAATGTCTGTAGAACAAGAAGATTGTGACAAAGAAGAAGCCATCTTTAATGAACAAGTAATCTTAGGTGGGGGGAAAAAAGGAAAGTGGGGAAAAGAGAATGGAAAGTTTAAGATTGGGAAAAACAACTCCCCACAAAAATAGAGTGAAAAATAAGTATAAAATCCGAAAGCAACAGAAGAGGGGTTCCAGTTTGTCAGGCTTTGGAGGCAGCAGGAATTCGCGTTTGTGCGCGATCCCTGCTGCTCTCGCTGCTGGAGTGCCTTCGATCCAATTGGATTGGGAGGCTATAGTTATCCTGTAGGGATAACTGAAGAGAGGGGAGATCTGGGCAGGGGTCTGGGGATAAGATAGTATTGTTATATTAGAAATAGAAATAACTTTAGAAAATATGAAACAATGTATGATTAAAATGTTTGATAAAATAGCTATCGTAATTCAGTGGAATGCTTGTCAATAAATAATTGTAACAAAATGAATATTTAATGATTTACAAAACATGTGAAGAGAAATAAGGGAAAAATAATTATGGAGATTATATGTGTCTAAGGAAGTATGATATTTAATTGAAAAGAAGTGTTAAAGATGTTAAGATTTTAATGATTATTAATGATAAAACTGAATTGGAATGGAATGAGGGTTTATAATTACATATATTTATAATCTTTTTTTTAAAAGAATATAGTGTGTATTATAAGAATGTACCAAGCAGAATTCGATTGGAAGTTATGTATTATGTATTATATTGAAGGTCATAACCTTAAGGTATATATTGAAGTTTAAATAAGAGTTGAATGGATGTAATTAAAAGATATAAAGATGTTATACTCCAATTAGTAACTACAGGAGAAAATTTGTTTAATGAGAAAAGTTAATATGAAATTGAAACAGAACAGACAAAAGTATAAATATAATGATTTGAATTGAGATGAGATAATCAAAATAAAATTGAGAAAATTAAAAGAGGGGAAAAACTATATAGAAAATGTAGAATAGTATAAGACATGGAATAGAACACAAAAAGGAGCATGAAATTGAGCTTTGTGTCTGTATAAAGAAGTTCAACCCGGGACCATGCTATTTTCAAAAAAGATGTTTTACTTGTATATGTGTGAAAACCCAAATAAAACTTTATTAAAAAAAAAGAAAAAGAAAAATTTGAAAGAATAGCTTTTATGTTTCCTTGCATTGGTTTTTCAGCCAAGATCATTAGTCCTGAGTTTTATGTGAAGGTGATTCTTTTTTCTTTCCTTACATTTGCAGCACCTAGGCATAAAGAAAGATAATATTATACAGGAAATAATGGAAGAAGAAATACCACCAGATGCTGTTCAAGATGAAACTCTTTATTGTCTCCCTAAGTTTGACAAGAATGCTTTTGTTGGATTATTTGTGGAGGACATTGTGTCCCCTTCACAATTCCATGTCCGGATCTATGGTGGAGAAACTTCTGATGAGCTAGAAAATATTATGATTGAAATGAGGTGAAGATATATTTGAGTAGTTTTTGAGAGTTCTGGGGATATCTGCTTTTGCACAAACTTTATTAAAATTGAAGGGAGAGTGAGAATTCACTTTGTTTTCTATGCATGGATGCCTGCAATCCATAACTCTCGATCACTTGCAATGCAACTTCTCTCAAGATGGTTATCCATGCACATTTCAAAGTGTGAACTTTCAACAATTTATTTTATAATTGTCATGATTGTTTGAAAATTTGTGGTGAAAATCTTAAAACATTATAATCTCTCAATAATTCAGATTTCTACAGATTTTCTCAGATTTTTTCAGATTTCTAACTTGTTTGTATCATTTCCATAAGAAAAAATAGCAAATAAGATTAGATAGAAAACATTTTTGCAAGCTTGAAGAAAATAGAAAATTTATTTGTTTATTTATTTGTTTGTTTGTTTGTCAATCATGCTAGATTGTACTGTATGACCACAATCATACTGCGGTCACTGTTTGAAAAGGGTTCTTGTATTTGTAGGCCATAAATTGAGTTTGAGCTGGTGCAGAAGATGAGGTTGAGGCAGTTAAGTCTAGTGTTGTTTGTTACTAATTGATCCAGTCCCAGTGTAGTAGCGGCATTGTACAGGGTTGCATGTATGGGTTCGGATGTACATTCAGTTAGGGTCCAATCTATAAGAGGTAGATTGAGGTCACCAAGGAAAATAAGAGGATGTGGACAAGAGGCAGCCCACGTCAGCAGTGAAGTTAGTTTGTTTGCATGAACTACTGTATGTCATAATCAGGGGCTCTGTAGAATAGTAAGAAGCGGATAGTGGTATTTAAGGACAGTTCACAAACGATGGTCTCTGGAAGAGCAAGCTCTTGTGTAATTTGAATCTTTCTTAGATTTAGGGATTTTTTATAGAATAGTACTAGATAACCTAGCCTGCTATTAGGTATGAATCCATGTGTAAAATATAACATGATATGAGAGATGGAAAGATTGTTTAAGATGCCAGTTGGGAGTTCAAATATTGACAGTCCAGCTGCTTCCTAGTCCTCATCTGTGACTAGGAAGAAAATGTGCTCTGCTATGTGAGAGCAGCAGAGTCACTCCTTAAATACATCAGAGAAGATGAATGAGCAGTATAAGATACATGTATTCTTCAAGAAAGAGTAGGAAGTTCCTACCATTGGAAATTTCAGCTTTTCTACAGAAAGGAGAGAAGTAATCCATGGAAATGAAGGATGTCTTTGTTCTGCTGTTTCTAAACTGATCTGTTTATTATTATTATTATTAAAAATGAGATTGGTTAAAAAATAGGATTTCTAAAGTTGGATTATTTTTTGCCAATCCAAATAATGCCTCAGAGACCAGTTTCTGTTTTTTCTACAAGTATTCCCATGGAATTCAATCCAGCGCAGTTCAGTACTCATCCATGTTTATAATGTTGTAGGAGGAAAGTTGTATTAATGTATGGTAGCCAAAAAACAGGTGTCTGGTAGCACCTTTGCAGACTACAGAGCTGTAGCTCATGTAAACTTGTACCTTTTAATAAATTTGTTAAACTGAAAAGATAGTACCAGACCCTCCCAGATATACAGGAAGCTACAGTAGTGATTAATTTGAATCTTCTCTTTCAGGCGATGCTATTCTAGTAAATATGTAGCTAATCGTTATGTCATACCTGAAACCTTCATTCGTCCCGGCCAGCTTTGTTGTGTAAAGAATTCTAAAGATAAATGGTGGTACCGAGTTATCATTCATCGACTTCTTAATGACCAAGAAGTGGAAGTGTTTTACCCAGACTTCGGAAATATAACAATAGTTCAAAAATCTTCACTGAGGTTACTCAAGTAAGTAAACTGTTGTTCTGACCCAAGCCTCGTTCCAAGCAAACAAAAACCAAACAGAGATAAAAGCAAAACCTTTTTAATGCTTCTCTGTGAATTGCATTCATTCACAGTAAAAACGCTATGAAAACTAATTGTCCCAGATAAGAACAAGCCTTGCCAAGATTGTGCAAGGCTGCCAAGAACACTAGATTAAATTGCAAGGAAATATTCAAAACCAAAAGTCTCCAAACACAAACTAGGATAGTCCAAACTTCCACAAGACTTGAAGTGCAAGAACTTTTTTTCTTCCTGCAAAGAATCCCACCTTTGAGGACTGGGAGGGGCCATCACCTTGCAACCTTACTCCCGAGTTGCCCATGCTGCTGCAGCTGCTCTTTTCTTCGAGCAGCCCTGACACACGTGCACTGGGCACAGGCTCCTTGGAGTCCTCTGCATCACTGCTGCCAGCCTCCATAAACTCCGAAGGCAGCACTCCACTCTCTGACAGTCCTGGCCCCATCCCTGCATCACACGCAGGCCCCTCATTCGAGTCCTCGCTCTCCGAGACCTCAGCCGTCCGCACCTGCTGCCGGCGAACCACAACAACTGTCTTTAAAGATGTATAATGACACATAAATGTTTCATTACCCCATTACCACATGCTATAGTTTAGGCTTAATGTTGATCGAGATTGGGACACTAATCTGGCAGTCACAGGCATAGATTGACAAATTAAGATCCTTATCATTGCCTTCTCCCTTTTGTGCCAAGATTAGATATACATCAACTTTTACACTGATCACATTTTCTGATCACTATATTTTTATGACTTCATAATCCCTTAATTTGGGGTAAAGTTGGGGCGACTAGAGCTCAGCGTTTACTGGCTGAATGCCCTTCCTAATGCCTACGTGGACTTTGCAGCAGATATTATAATTATCTTTGTGCTCTGAAAGAGAAACATCTGCTACTACCTAGGATTGAACTTTTCAACCTTCTGAGTGGGAGGTAAGTGTCTTCACCACTAGGCCACCATGCTACTTTCATTTACTGATCATTATTATTGCAGCTTATTGAGCTCAGAGCCATTGGAAGGCCAGGAAAAGCTAATCCTTTTTCCACCTCCTAAAAACATGTATACAGGATGGAGTGGAGTGTTGCTTTTGTTTTTTGATTTTTAAAGAAAAAATGCCTATGCTATAGGAACAGCCTTATAGGAAGTCCTCTACACACAGCCAGTTGCTTAGCGAGTTTACAAAGTTATGACAACCTAAAAAAGGAAACATGACCTGGATTGGAAGTTCTGGCTTTAGGTCCCCTCTGCAGTCATGTGAACAAACTTTGGACACTCAACAATATTGCCACATTTATGATGGTTTTGATTTCTTGATAGACTGTTAGCCATTAATCTGACATTTTAGATCATGATTAAGTTAAGATATGTAAGACAAGTAAGTGATACAGATAGTCCTTGACTTTTGATGATTGTCTTAACCATCATTCAAATTTATGATGGCACTGAAAAAACTTATGACTGGTCATCACACTGATGACCATTGCAATCCCCCTAATGGCACATGACCAAATTTGGGCACTTGGCAACCAGGATGTGTTTATGATCATTGCAGAATCTCAGGGTCATGTGATCACTATTTACGATATTCCCAAATAGCTTCCAACAAAGTTAACATGGGAAGCTAGATTTATTTAATTACTGTGTAATTCACTTAACAACCAGGCTGATTTGCTTCACAACCACACCAAAAAGAATGGTAAAATCAGATATGACTCACTTAATGGCTGCATCACATTGATCACATGCAACCGTCTTAAATTGTGGATTACCTGAATTTACATGTTGTACAAGTGCTGAATTTGGGCAACATGGTAAACTAAAATGTGATTTGTTTTATCAAAATTGAGTAATAATATAATCAAAATATAGTATCTAGAAATGTTGCTACTTAGTTTGAGGACTGTAAATTTTGTGACAATCGTAATACTTCTGAAAGTTATTTATATGGTGTTTTTTTTAAATTCAGTAATAAAATGGTGTGTTCCTTGCCTTTGCAAACATCCAAGAACCATCGAGCTGATGTTCCAACCCTGAAGAATTTTAATAATTTAGTTCAGCCACCCAGTTAAAAGATTAAAATACATTGGGTATATTTGTGTTAAAGTGTGTTTCAGTCTGAAAATAAGATCAAATATTAGAGAAGGCTGTACTTGTACACTCTAATGTCATTTTTGCTTTGTGGATTCTTCCCATAGTTTGCCAGAACATCTAACAAGGTAAACTATTATGTGGTATTAAAGCAAAAGGATATTAGAGATGACCAATACTGTAGTTTACATACATGATATTCTTCTGACTAAAATTGGAATTCCAATTTTTTTCTTTTCCGAACAGTGATTCCTACTTTTTTTCGTTTTCTTTCCGCGCCTCCGATCGATCCGATCAGAGCTAGCTCCGCGGCCATGAGCCGCGCCAGCCAGGCAGAGCGAGCTAGTATACGAGGGGCTGGGGCGCATGCTGGCATCGTGCATACGGCCTGTGTTTCAATCAGTCATAGTACGCATGCCCAAAAGTCGCGGTGTGGAAATTTTCACGCATTTTGCGCAACCAGGCAGTTAGCGCGAAAATAAAAGCACGCGAATATTTTTGCTTGTTATACTGCACATGCTGGATTTGGCCTCCCGTACCTAAAGACAGCAAAAACAGCATGGCTTCTTGGTGGAATGTTTTGGAAAGAAAGGATGAAGCCCTTGTCAGGAAAATTGATGGAACTGTCCGTGACAAGTGGAATTGGGAATGGACCCAGAGAACTGTTGATGGCACCATGATATCTGAATGCACCAGAAAAATCGCGGAACCAGGGAAAGCATTTTGTGTCTGGTGTGAAAGTGTTATCACCTATGCAAAGGGTGGCCTCGTTGTGATAAAGCGGCATATAACAAAGAAGAAACGCATGGACGTGAAGAAACTTAGGAAGACAAATTACAGCCTTAGTGGTAAGTTTCATCTCTGTGAAGTCTCTGTGCTGTGGGGATTTGTTGGTCGGCTCGAGTAGACGGCTCCATTCCGATCTTACGTGAATGGGGTTTTTATGCTGGTTTGATTTATTTGATGAAATTTAATTAGAGATTAAGTGATTGAAGGAGTGTTTAGTGAATGCATCCAAACTTATTTTTCAATTTATTTATTTATTCTATTTATTTAGTCTTTTTTTTTTTTTACCCAGGGTAGCCTTATCAGTGGTTATTATAAACTGGTTTACTGTACGTGAAGGCCCTGCATATTAATTAATATAGCATCACAATAAAAAAAAATGAATAAACATATAATTAGACTTGATCACAAACAATTTTGAATAAACAACATGTAAATAACCAATTGTGAACTCAGCAAGTTTAGATCAGGAGAAAAATCATGCCTCCAATTCAACATCTGCCTCAGAGGAAATCTATGAACATTTATGACTTTAGGGAAGATAAATTTGTAAATAATTTCAAAGTATTTTGGTATTGAAACATGAAGTAAATGCATCATAAATTGTACTTCTAAAAATATTTTAAAGCGTGACAAATCTCACAATATCTTCAAAAATTATTTCTTTCCTGTAATATTAATTATATAGGAAATGTCAGTACATAGTATCATAAATTTTATAGTAGTACATTGTTAATAATATAATAATTATAATTGTAGTTATTATCACCATCATCATCATCATTATTATGATGTCATATTACTTTGTTTTACCTCTCCCTCTCTCTTTTTACAGCTGCATTTGCTCCCTCAACATCAACCTCCAGCTCAACGTATGGCTTGCACCCTTCCCTCAAGTCAAATGTAGCACCATCTTGTCCACCTCTTCAAGCCTCGGTTCCTCTCATGGACAGAGTTACTAACCACGAGGCCATGATGTTGGCGTTTCTTGCAGAGAAGTCGCTTCCATTCAGCTTGGCACCAGATTTGATCAGCTTGTCACAGGCTCTTGCTGGAGATCCCAAGGTCCTAAGTCAACTCTCCATGGACAGAAATACTGCATCACATAAAATGCAATATGGCCTTGCAAAGACTATCAAAGATGACTTAGTGAAGGACCTGCAAAGCAGCAAGTTCTCAATGAACATTGATGAGGCAACCTCTGACAGCAAGAAGAAAATTTTGATTGTCCTGGTGAGCTACTACTCTGATTCTCTGAAGAAGGTTATAATTCAGCACTTTGCCTCACTTAGTTTGATAGTGGTGAACAGTGAGAATCTTGAAAAAGAAATCGATGCATTGCTAAAACAACACAACATACCGTGGGAAAATGTCATGTCTATTCTCATGGATTCCTGCAATGTTATGAGGGGCTCAAAGGCTGGATTGGAGACACGGATAAGGACAAAGCATGCTCCTCATCTCCTGGACATTGATGGAGATGTGTGTCATCATGTACACAATTCTTGCAAGAAGTTCTCAAGTGCTTTTGAACATTATTTAGAAGAGCTATTCACCTCCATCTACAATGATTTCAAATGGTCTACGGATCTTCGCCAGTACCTGGAGGAGCTGAGCATCATTCTTGGAGTAAAGTTCACCATGCCAGAGAGATACGTTTCAACCAGGTGGCTTAGTGTGTATGATGTAGCAGTTGACACTCTAAGGTTGTTTGAAGTGTACACTATCTTCTCCTTCTCCTTCCTACCTTCATTTGATCGTGAGCATTTTTTCTTCTTGTGCAAGGGTATCTTCAACACAAAGGATATTGGAGACGAAGCTGTCAGGGCTATCAGAGCAATTCAAGTCAAGCTCAGAGAGAAGAAGATGACAGGAGAGGGGAAACAATGAAAAGAAAGAATCACACAGAAGCTGTTTGTGAATTGCAGCTACACAGATTGCTCCTTCATTTCTACTGTGCTTCCTTGCCTCTATTGAAGTTTGTTCTGGTGTTTCAGAAGAAGGAAACAAAAATCCACAAACTGCATGATGAAGTTGTAGACTTGACAAAGAACGTCTTTGCATGCTTTGTGAAGCCAGAAGTACTTCGTGACTGTAAAGTGTGTGCAGTAGATGTCCAAGCTGAGACTTCTTTGTTACCATGTATAGACATGTTTGTTGGGCCTGAAGCGAAAGAGATTCTCAAGAAAGAGAAGAAGGAGTTGAAGAACGGATTCCTTACTAGGGCAAGGTCTGCCTATGTTTCAGCTGGAAAATGCTTGCAGGAAAAACTGCCTATCAAGAACAAATTACTTGCTCATTTCTCGGCAACAGACCCCATTGTGAGAGGACACTCCCAAGCACTGAAGTGCATGAAGGCACTTCCACAGCTTCTACCAAATGTCTTGGAAGCTTCAGAGGTAGAGCCCTACATATTAGAGGTTCATCGGTATCACAGTGATGCCAGGATACCTAGTGCAGCAGACCAAGTAATGATAAGACAACTGGTGGACTGGGATTGCTTCAGCAGAAAAGTATCCTTGCCTCTTCAAGATGATGGAAGCAATCATGAGCTGCTTCCATGGACCCCAAGTTGAGAGTTCTTTCAGCCTAATGGGTAACATTATAACTTCCAAGACATCTCGCCTTGGCATAAGGACGTTTGATGCTCTTCAAAGTGTTAAATACTCATTGAAGGCTTCAGGGAAGTCTGCTGTACAGCAGTATCAAAGGAAGGACCTTGAACATGACCCAGTGAATCCAAGTCTTGTAAGAAATATGAGAAGGGCACATAAATAGTACATGGAAGAACTGAAGACAATAAAACAGAAGCTTGCAGCAAAGAGGGCCAATCTGGAACTGAAGAGGAAAACAACTGTAGCCAAAAGACAGGCCAGACTCAAAGTTATGCTATCAGCTCTAGCTAGAAAGAAGCATAGACAAGCAATGCTGATCAAAGGAAAGGGAACAAAGAGAAAGTCCAATTAGAGGTGAAGCATTGTGGCTGTTTTTCTGTCTGTTAAGCAGGGTTTGTTTGTTGTTTTTGTTTGTTTGTTTTATTTTTTAAATGTGAAATCCTTTGCCCGAGAGCATTCTCACAGTGTTTTTTTATTATTATTTTTTGTCAAATAATAAAACTATCATGCAGACTCACCTTGAAAAATCACTTTTGATTACTTTACTCTGCTAAAGCTTCAAGGGGGCATTGCCAATTTAATTCCCACCGGGGTGCTGTGAGGACCGCAGCGGGTGCTTAGGAAACCCCTGCACCCCTGGCTACTTTTCAGATTTTTTTTCAGAGGGGAATATCATGCCTGAGTTTATTAATACAGATAAAATGGCAGGTATAGACACAATCCCTGCCCAGATTCACATTTGATATTAATCCTAACGTGGCTTGTTGGTTTTGGTTTTGCATGCTCTGAAAACAGAAGCGAAGTGTGATTCATTTCAGAGTAGTGAACATCAGGTGGAAACCAGATTGTGGTTTATTTGTCAGTTGCATCTATTAGTGTGATATGTGAATGGAAATGAATTATTTGTTTATTGCTTTCTGAACTGTTTGTATTTCTACCTTTTCCCAGCATCTAACCAGTTCACAGAGGTGCAAGGCAACAAAAACATTTTTTAAAAAGGAAGAAAACAAAAAAAAATGCTTTTCAAATTTGTTTTGCCAACCTGTTAAACTTTGTTCTGAATCTTTCAACACAGTATGCTGTAATGTGTATATGGGATGTGCGTGGGGGGGGGATTCTAGCAGTTCTGACAGGTTCTATAGAACCCCTTGTTAACTTCCTAAGCAGTTTGGAGAACCTGGTAGTTAGAAGAAATCTCCTTTTGTTTTTTTCCACCCTTATTACATTCTTTGCAGTCAGCCTAGACTTAACTGTCTCCGAAGGAGATTTTTTTTTCTTAAAGGGGAAGGGTTGTTTTAAGCTTTTTACACTGCTGTTGGGAGGAAATACTCCCCTGGAAATACTTCTTTTTGGCTAGCTAGAAAGATTGACATACCCTTTCTGAGTTTGGGTCTAAAACTGGTTTTTGGTGAAGTTTAATCCTGTGTTTGTTGACATTTAATCCTGTGTTTATTGATGGGATAATTTTCACTATTCAGCTTTGTTTGGAAAGAAAAAGATTAATCTCTGTTCCTGAAAAGAAACTGGTTTGAGAAATCTGCTAGTTCCTGTGTCTATTTGTTCTGGTAATTGGTAACAGTAGCAACACCTGCTGTTGTGATTTAATTATTTGTATTTGAATTTTTACCTGCCTCATGGTTTTTTTTTCTATCTGGGAAGGGGGTCTTCCTTCATTGCTTTAATGGTATCTGGTGCTGTCCTTTTGGGGTGTACTTCCAAGAGGCAGGATGCAAGCTTGACATTGATTTTTTTATTGCCTTTCTGGGGTGATCTTTCCTTAAATCTGGATGATTTCTTTAGGACAGGGGTCCCCAACCACCGGTCCGCGGACCGGTACCGGTCCGTGGAACAAGTCCTACCGGGCCGCTGGTTTGCTGGGCGCCGCCATCTTTTTTTGATGAAAAAGTGCTTCTGGTGAGCTTTTCCGGGTAGAAAGCTCACCGGAAGCACTTTTTCATCAAAAAAAGATGGCGGCGCCAGCGCTTCCGGTGAGCTTTTCCGGGCCGCGGCATAAGAAAGGTTGGGGATCACTGCTTTAGGATATCTTTTGAGATGAGTGAGACCAGCTGGTATCTTTAAGTGGTGCAAATGGATCTAAGGATTGCTTCTCCTGGGTGTGCTCTTTCTGGAGAGCTTAAATGACCTCTCCACTAAAGGGTTTCATTTTATGAGCAAGAGTTGGCTGCTTGATAGTTATCTCTGCATTTTAGCTATTTTAATTCCTCAAGGTGCTCTGGCATCCTGCCTGATTTGTAACTCTGGCTTGCAGGTATTTTTAATCTAATGGTTGGTATTTAGGGCAGCTTTTTGCAAGCAGAGAAGCTTTTTGTATTTTTGTACAGGTAATCCTTGACTTACAACAGTTCATTTAGTGACTATTCAAAGTTACAATGGCACTGAGAAAAGTGACTTATGACTGTTTTTCACACTTACGACCGTTGCAGCATCCCCACTGGCAGCATCTCCACTGCCAGGCGAGGAGAAGCGCCCCTTGATATAAATGATGTTGAGTTGACCATGCCCATCCAGTCGCTTGACCACCAAACCACACCCACCCACTAAGCCACACCCACAGAACTGGTTGTTAAAAAATTTGAATCTCACCCCTGGATGTGCGTATGTAGTCAGTGGTGGAATCACACACTGAACCAAGCTATAGTGAAGTTTGTTTGGTTTTGGCTCAGTAGCGTATGCATAAAAGCATACTGGTTTGTGAAATATGGTTTATTGCTTAAAGTGTCATATGAATCAAAAACATATAAAGGGGTTGGAAAACAACATCAAATCATATTTTGTTGATAAATCTGAATTAGCCTATTATGACATTCTTCCAACAGACATTGCTATGCAAAACTTTCTGCCCAAGTTATCCCTTGCTGTTTAGCCTGGGTGAAGCCAAGTAAGGTATGTAATTTCCTATTTGTTTGGTTCTCATCTGGGGAATTGGTTGGAGATAACTGAAGAGATAATCACAATTTTTGAGAAGCTCAAAATAAACTTCTGATTGAGTCAATCCAGGAAATGGTTAAAGCACAAGTGATATAAAACTAATGGTGAGGATAGTCAGATCATATATTAAAATACATGATTGTCAAATGCTGTAAGATTTATGTTGTTTTCTCTATTATAACTAGCACAGATTGTCCCAGTGATTTGGAATTTATTATCTAAATATATTTTATGTAGTACATTGTATTGTATATGTACATATGTATGTGTGTATATGCATATATGTGTGTGATCACTCAGTGGTTAAGATGTAGCAGCCCAAGTTTGAGACCTGAGTACCATGCAGGGGATGAGTTCCATCTTTACTCTAGCTCCTGCCAACGTAGCAGTTTGAAAGCAGGCAAATGCGAGTAGATAAATAGGTACCACTATGGTGGGAAAGTAATAGCACTCCATGACTTCATGACCACGAAAATGTTTTGGACAGCACTGGCTCAATGGTCTTGAAATGGAGATGAACATTGCCCCCTATAGTGAGCAACAACTACCAGAGTAAAATCTGCACACACTCCTTTTATATATTAGTATAGCAGTGATTGTATGACCTCTGTAGATGCCATACACTAAATAAAAATAATCTGTTGTAAGGAAACCTACGTTGTAGCCCTTGAAATTTGCTGTAACAAACTTGATATCAAATTGAGAATATACCTGTACCCTTCACATAGTTTGGTTGCCTCCTGGAACATACTATGTACCAAAGTATTCAAGAAAACATCTTATTTTTTTCTGTTTCAGTTTAGGTGAATTTAGGCAGTAGTAAATACATACTTGCATCTTGAAGTATGTTCACCTATTTCTGAAAAGGCCTCCCCTGAATCCAGAGGTCTGTGCCTTATTTAACAAAAAGAAAGATGACACTGAACTTAAGAATCCCTCTTGAGAAAAACGGAAGGAAAGAAAATGAACACATAGATTAAAAAGCTCTATGCAGTGCCTACTTTGCCCACTGTATCAACTTACACCAGCCAAATTAAATTAACCTGGGAAATTTCTACCTTGTTCTGTTAATGAATGACATATGTATATCATATGTCACATGTCAAAATGGGCAGGGTCAGGATAAAACTTTTAAGTAAATGAAAATAAAAAGTAATTGATTCCACATCTGCCTGTATCAGAGTAGAAAAGTTAAAGATGATTTATTAATTAGGGAAGAAGTTAAATTTAAAATGCTGGTATTTTTTAAAACAGACTGGCAAAAAATCAAGAAAAACAAAGCAAACATCCTTACTTATTACATTTATACGTATTTTCCTCCCTCTCCCTGGGGTTGAAGGCAACATAGCACAACATTCTTTCCTCCAAATCTTCTCAAAATAACAATAGGGTGAAAAATAGAGATTATTCCAAAACCTTCCATGACTGAGAATACTTGAATTTGTGATTTTCTGATTCTAGATTTAAACTTTGTATTTATTTTATATTCTACTTTATCCTCTCTTTTTTTTCCTGCATAAAGGGTGATTGGTCTGTCAGTGCTATAAAGGAATTCCGAAGATTGTGTGAGCTGAAATTGCTGGTGGGATTGGTAGATGAATATATAAATGACGTCCTTTACCTCTTCCTTTGTGATACCAGTTCCGATGATGACATCTACTTGCACGATGTTTTGAAATTAGAGGGTCATGCACTCATTTGTAGGGAGAACATTCCTTCCAAGGTAAAAAGAAGACAAGTTATGAAGGGGTGGGGTTACAAGTGCTGAATTATGGCAAGTAATTCTCAGATTGACTTGAGCTGCACCGAAAAGAAAAAAAATGGAATAAGAAGATCATAAGAGGAAGTGACAATGTTTCAAAGAAATCCATACTGGAAATGGGAGTTTATTTTTTACAATTGCTAAAACAATATAATCATACAAAAAAAAAAAGTTTAGCGTGGATCAATTATCTCTCTACTTTAAAAAATGTTTTAAAAAGTAATCTGGATATAAAGAAATAGGTTCCATAAAACTACCTTTAAGACAGCCTAATTTTCTAATCAAACTACAAATCAAAAATCAGTAATAGGAAAGCAAGCCTATCGATGTGTTGGCATCATAGCTAATTAACAAATTAGTGTTCTGGTTGTAGCTCTACCTTCAGGTAGCATCATATAAATAGGACTGAAGTCCTCAAACTGAGCTGTATGAAATAGCAAATGAAAACAAGTAATGTTTGTGAGTTAAACCAGATAAAAATCACAACCAGGTGAGCTAATTCTACTTCATTGTAAGCCACCTTGACAGAACCTTGCAAGTTGAAAATGCAGTCCTCCTCTACCCCCATTCTTTTACAATGGAAGAAACAGTGGAGGGTCTCTTCTGAATCTCTTGCCCTGGCTACTATAGTTGTGGGCTGTACTATTTCTTATGTGATCATCCCCTTGCAGCCTCTCTTTGCCCAAGGTCTTTCCTACATACCATTAACTACCCTGAGGTGCAGCTTGTTTCCAAGGTTAGACTGGAAGCTATTAAATATTTCTTTATTTTTACTTTAACAGGGCTTCAAAGAGTTAAATCCTTTTACGCTATATATGAAACCAAACCCAAACCCAAACCCAAACCAGCATGCTGATTTCATAGAAGCAGACACTTCATTGCTTCAGCAGGACTCTCTTGTAAACTTCCCAGGAACAACTTCAGAGACTTGCAATAATGAGGTAGTTTCACAGGTGGGAAAATCTAACATCTGATTATTGTCCTCATGTATTTTTTCCTGTTCCTGAAAAATCCCCAGAAGACGGGTGGGGGGGTAGTTTTTCTTCTAAAATTAGCATCTAGTAACTCTGTTCGTATGGTTGGGTGAATCCCAAAAATATTACATTAAGACAGATGGACATTTTAAAGTCAAAAGCAAACAACTTTTCTTGGTGCCTTGTATTGTTACTGCAGCGCTTGACAATCTCTTAGCATCGATCTGACTTTCTTCATAATCTGTCTTCATATTTTTAAATTAAAAGGAGTGTTCACATGATGCAAAGCAGAGCACCAGCCTCTGTTCCAAAGAGTTATTCTGGACCCAATGTGAAAATCATGAGTAGCTGCCATCCAGTGTTTTGTTTAGATGTACATTCACCTGCCTTGGGGAAAAAACAAGTAGTATGGTAGTAAACAGTCTAGGGAGGTAATGAAAGAGTATCCTTCTAATTTACTTTCTAGTAAATGGGTGTTTTGTGGCTGCCCAAACCAACTATAGCACTCATTTGCAGATGGGAAAACCCTCCTCATAGCAGGGGACTACACTGTACTTCAGAGAGTATTCCAATGCCCCTTTTTCTCTTTCAACTGTCTGGTATACTTACAATATTCTACATCCACATAATTTCCTTGATAAGTAGATTCTATCAACATCACTGCACGGACGAAGGGTATGATTCATTGTCATTATTTTACTGGTCTTCCTGTCCATAGCTTTCAATATTATTATTCATGCTACTACTAAGGGAATGAGATAATCTTACTTAAATATTTCCTCATACTGTTTAAAAATTTTTTTTTGGCAGTCAGATGTTAATGCCTCTACTGATACATTTTTCAGTGTTTTTCCTTTTAAAACAATGAATGTGAAATTACATAATTAAATATGTCAGTGGAATTAGGAAATGAAGCATACATAAAGAAGACTTTAAAATAAGATAGTTTCAACTATTTAGCATTTTCTATTTGTATACTAAAAAGGTAGTAAATCAAAAAGTACATGAATAAAAATATTGCAAAGTCTCTGATAAAAGTTAAACATGAATGTTGGAGTACTTATTCAGCAAATTTCATCCATATTTATTTTGAAACTATAAAACACTAAAATGTTTTAGTGTCTTAAATCATTGGACACTTACTAAGCTATATGATAAAGTTGATACAGGTAGTCCTCACTTACTGATGGTAATTGGGATCAGCAACTCTATCGTGTGACTGCACCGGTTTATGACATTAGTTCCAGCTGGGGCCATTAAATGAATCATCCATGATTGTTAAGCATGCTATTGCATGACCACGGTTTGTAACTTCCTGCTGGCTCCCCCTTAACTTTGCTTGTTAGAAGCTAGTTGCCAAGCACCTAAATCGCAATCGTGACTATGGAGATGCTCTGATGGTTGCAAATTTAAAGATTGCTCATAAATCTCCTTTTTCAGTGCCTTCGTAACTTCAAGTGATTGTTGAACAAGCAGTCAGTATGTGAGGACTACTTGTATAGTGTAGGAGTTGAACAAAATAGCAAAAAGTGATTGGATTACTTTAATAAATGGAATTTTGTGCAGGGTTTTCCAATGAACAAATTCTATAAAATAGTGTATTTGAAATTAAATATATAATTAAAATGACAGTATTGTAAACATTTTCTAGCATACAGCAAGCCAGTCCTCAGATCCTGAAGTACCATACCTGGAGCCGGTGTATTTATGCCAAGAAATTTGGGATGAGAACTGGTTGCCTTCAACATATTATGAAAAAAAGAAAAAAGAGAATATTTCTGATGATTTACATACTGATATTATAGTAGTTTCTGACCAGACTTCAGGTGATGAAGGCAACAAAAATAAGATCCAACACAACCAAGGTGTGATTCAAAAGGTAGATTTTGTTACTGTTTTTTGTGTGTGTTATTAATCCAAGGTTCAAATGAGATGCAGTACTCTCTTATCCCCAAAATTCAGACTTTAAACAAAAGTTCAGAGTTTAAATTGGTGAAAATAGATTGTAACTAAAAAGAGTAAAATACAAAAATACTAAAACAAGGAAACGGCATGGCAATAAAAACAGACTGGAAAATCATTACAAGCCAGCAAGCATACCACATGGACTAGAATACCAAATTTAAGGCAGTGATAAATTCATTTCATTTCATCATGTGACCAACCTGATTTTATAACATTTTTGTGGCAGTCATTAAAGTCTGGTTGTAAAGCAAACACGCTGTCCGTTAAGCGAACCAATTGCCTACAAAGTAAATGCAGGTTTCTGGCAAGCAAAAATTCATTGTTAATTGTGGCCACATGACTGTGAGAAGTGACAAAGAGCCATAAATGCCTAAAATGCAATCGCGTAACTAGCTAGCTGGGTTGCCCAGCTCTCAGAACTTTCAATCTGGTTCATTAGTGTCTTTTTTTTTTCGGGGGGGGGGGGGGGCTGGGAGCAATCAATTATAAGTAAAGATTTACCTGTATTTCATAACATGAATGCCACTACTAATGACCTAAAAGCTCAGCTCAAATAACAGTTGCTAAGGTCTTACAGAGCAGTATACAAGCTCGGTAAGAAGCAGATATTTAGCTACATAGTCAAACTTTATTTCCTAGATTGGATAGGACACGAATATGAATGCTTTCACATAATATCAGAATTTTAATGCTTCTACGATCCTGTAACGGGCTTTTGCTTCATTCAAAATATCAAAGTCCTTTTTTTAATGGCACTTCAACAATTAGCAATGCCTATCTGATTATGTCTGGGATTAGAAGTTGAACAGGGTCAGACTTGGTGAATACCTAGACCGGTTTAGGTTAGGCTAGATTGGGATGTCAAAATCAAAGAAAGCAAAGGCAAACTATTTCTACTGTTGAGTTGTCTAGAACAGTGATCCCCAACCTTTTTTACGCTGCGGCCCGGTACCGGTATCAGCTGGGCGCCGTGGCCCGGTACCGGCATCAACTGGGCGCCGCCATCTTTTTTTGATGGAAAAGTGCTTCCGGTGACCTCACCGGAAGCACTTTTTCATCAAAAAAAGATGGCGGCGCCAGCACTTCCGGTGAGCTTTTCCGGGTAGAAATGGCTTTCTACCCGGGAAAGCTCACCGGAAGCACTGGCGCCGCCATCTTTTTTTGATGAAAACGTGCTTCCGGTGAGCTTTCTACCCAGAAAAGCTCACCGGAAGCACTTTTTCATCAAAAAAAGATGGCGGCGCCCAGCAAGCCAGCGGCCCGGTAGGAGTTGTTCCGCGGCCCGGTACTGGTCCGCGGCCCGGTGGTTGGGGACCCCTGGTCTAGAAGACAGCACAGATATATCCATGAAGTCCCCAGAAATTGAAGGAGATTGTCAACTCATAAAATATTTCTATGATCGTTTTAGAGTTGCCAACAGAAAGGGAGGGGGGAAAGAAGTTTGAAAAAGCAGTGCAGCAGCTTGGAAATCGAAAGTACATTCCATACATAGTTTTTCAGAGATAGTAACTAGGTGACTGAAGTTTCTGCCGCGCAAAAATCTAACTGGAGAACATGATTGATGACTCTTGGCTATGGATGTGTCTCATTGGAGGATATGAATTATGATACGCACCCAGGGGGTGGGGGAAAACCAGGGTCAAGGGTGACAATGAATTATGTGTCTCAGAGTCGGCTACACCCAGGCAATGCCAGACATGTTAACTCCCAATAAATCCTTTGAAGTTTTGGAAGTTTGGCTCGAGACTCACGATTTAATTGGGGTAACTGCCGGAATCCTGACAGAGATATTGCTTACCTTCAAAGTCAGCCCCATGTTGAATCCCATAAAATAATCAAATTTGGAGGCTATGGAGAAATTGATCTGATGTCTCCAGGCAGGAGTAGTGCTGAGAACATAGCAGTGTGTGACACAGTACCATAGTACTTTTGAGTCCCAGGCTATTCCATATGTAAATTGGTTTCCTCTGTTTTCTCCCCACCATTCTGGTCCTTTGGTCATCACTTTAAAGGTTGGATCTCCCTCTAAGACTTAAGGGGTGGAGGGAGGTCATTTTCTGCTTGGAATAAATGTCCTTTTTTGGCAGACCGGGGATGCATCTAGTGTCATTGAGGCAGCAGATGATCCAAATCTGGAACATCCAAATGAAATTCTGAGCTTGACAGCAGAAACAAAGGTAATTTGATTTGTATTGTTTCTATTTAGGAAAAATGTTTTTTATTAGACTGAACAGTTGTATGTTCTGTAACAATTTCAAAAAAATAATATATATATAGCTCAGGGTTGAACTGTAGAGTCCTTGGTGCTCTCTGAGCTTGCTTGTTTGCTTGCAGATATTTCATTACCCAACCAGGTAACTACTCCACAGTCTATAGCAATTGTCATAAGATATGCAAAATATAGGTGTATTGTTAAACTTTTCAGATCTTCGCCATATTTGCCATTCCAAATTTATGTGACCATCATCTATGCCATATGAAGCTTTTGCTTCAGATGTTTTCTTTTAATTGTAACAATGTCAGTCAAATAGATATCCTGTGTTTTAAAGCAGGTTTCTTTTTTTCACTTGACTGCAGACAGAATCTTCTGTTGGAGATATACCTGATTATTTGTCACAAACATTAGAAGAGTTTTATGTTTCCATTGTTCATTCCAAGGAACCAGGAAAGTTGAGTGAAAATGAATCCGATGTAAACAAATTGTCTGCTTGCCATTTCCAACTTCCTCCATCGACCTCTGTGTTGCATGGTATATTTATGCATTAATCTTCGAATGATGCTAACTTTGCTATTGCTGTAGTATTATTAAATTTGCTGCCAAAATATCATACCCTTTTAAAATTGATTTGTAGCTGAGCTGATATTACAAAATCAGATTTGGTAGAGATTACAAAATGATCAGCTTTTGAACCATAGAAGATCTGTCTCTATTGAATCTTGGAAGAACTAAATTCTGAAATATCAGGAATGGGGGCTAACCAGAATAGTATGGAACATACTGATTCTGAAAGGGTTAACATTTAAAGTGGAAATATGGAGGAGCTATGCGGGGGAAATAGGGAAATATTGGATACTGGTTTACACAGCTGATTCTATTGGTCTTCATGTTTCACAGAAAAAATCATCATGCAGTCTAGACAGAGGTTTCCTTTAGGGACATGAGAACAGCTTCCTCTACTCAGTACTTCCTGTTCATGATGAAAATTGGTTTTGTTGAGTAATTTTATATGACTTCATGTTTGTTTAATCAAAAGTGGGATTATAATTATTTAAGGAGAAGATATGGGAAAGCAGAATCTACACTTACATTGTAGAAATGTGATCTAGTTAAAGTGAGATTGGTTAGGGCAAAACATCTGGATCTAAGCCCTATAACAAATGACTTCTGACCAATTTTTCTTCTCTTTACTACATAGGAAGACCTGCTTCAGAGAACACAGTTAATGATACTCCTGGAACTCAAACAGTTTCTGTATATAATGCTAATCATTACTTTGAACCTTGTGCCCTTGGTCACAATGCCTTGGTCTTTACTGCTGAGCTTCAGGGCTCTCCAAAATTCTGTATTCCATGCAGTCCAGCTGTAGCCTTGGGAGCATCTGCACGATTAGCTGCCCCTGGTAGATATTTCCCCCTTAACTTTACGAAGATGATACCACAAAAGTCAGTATGAAAGATTTTCAAAAGACTTCAATGTTCATCTAGTTAACTGGGTAGTAGAGTAACAAAATCTTGTAATTTGAGCCTATAGGAAATTATAATTTAAAGCCCAACTGAAATTTGGGCAACTTATGCCACGATATTTTCCCATGTATTGCTTTTCTTGTTGTATATTACTGTTAACATTTCTAACATTTCTTAATATAATAACTTTGCAAATAATCAATGAACTGTCTTATTTAAGTTGTATGCATATTTTTGTAGGCTGGCAAAGTTATTGAGTGTTGAGGACAACATATACAACAATGTCAAACCACAGCTGCCAATTTTTTAGCTGGTATTGGCCTCCATACACATTGAGTTCTTGCCAACCTAGGATATTGTAATGTATCAGTGTAGTATGTGTGCATATATGAACAGTGTGGGACCAGCCTTTGTAATAAGCAAACGGTGTTATTTGGGGTTTTTGTTAAGTGTATGCAGTTTTTTGGGAAAGAACTTAAATTAATATGGATGCTACATTTGATCTTTTCAGCATTTCCAATGACTCATGTTAAAATATTCAATCTCAATATTTTCCTGCATATGTGCAATGTGAGTGGGAGTGAGTTAGAATTCGAATAGAATAGAGCTGGAGGGAACCTTGGAGGTCTTCTAGTCCAGTCCCCTACTCAAGCAGGAGAACCTATACCTGTGATGGCGAACCTATGCCACGTGTGCCGGAAGTGGCATGTAGAGCCATCTCTCTGGGCACACCAGCTGTCACCTGTTGCTCTTCTGGGTTCCGGCATGTGCATGCACACCGGGCCAGCTGGTCTTTGCACGTGAATGCATATTAAAAAGCGGAAGACCAGGTGACCAGTGTACGCACTCCCATTTCGGCACCCAATGCTGAAAAGGTTAACCACCACTGACGTATACCATTTCAGACAAGTGATTTGTCCAGTCTCTTAAAAACCTTCTGTGATTTCTGAAGGCAAACTGTTCCACTCATACCTGCCCTCGTGTACTATTGTTTCTAGTTCACCCTGTTTGTTCCCCAAGTTTTGAGCATTTGGACATAAGCATTTAAGACTTTTATGCCTGTCCATGGGTATGCTTTCTGCATCTCCTACTTGTTTGAATTTTTCTTTTTTTTCATCACTCCCTACCTCATTGTTTGATTTGTTTTCTTGGGATTTATGATTGGTTTTGTGTTCCAAACTAGAGAGTCTTAAGATTGGTCACCCTCCCCCCTCAATTTTAATTTAAAGCCCTTCTGATGAGTTGAGCTAATCTTTTTCTGAGTAAATTTTTCCCTTTTTTCATGAGGTGCAGCTCATCCCTTGTCAAGGGTCTTTCGTGTAGGTAATGCAGTCCATGGTCTAGGAAATCAAAGTTTTCTTGGTGACACCAACCCTTTAGCGAGTGGTTTATTTCTAGAATTCTTTTTCCCCTCAATCGGTATTGAACTTTCGTTGGGAGTACTGATGAGAATAGTACTTGTGCTCCTAGCTCCTTAACTTTATTGCCTAGTTTCTTATAATCTTTCAATATCGTACTCAGGTTCTTTATTGTGTCATTCATCCCTGTGTGAAGGAGGAGAAAAGGTAGTAATCTGTGGGCCTAATTATTCTGGTTATGTTCTCAGCCACATCTTTGATTTTTGCTCCAGGGAGACAACGTACCTCTCTAGATTGTATGTCTGGCCTGCAGCTGGCTGGTTCTGTTCCTCTGAGAATAGAATTACCTATCACCAACCTTCCTTTTTGGGGGGTTGCTTTTCACTAACTACTGTTTCTAATGAAATTTCTAATGGAGTCCCTCTCTGTGTTTTTGTTTTTGTTTTAAATAAACTTTATTCAATTTTCCGACAATTTAATAAACCATTAAAAAGTACACAATTGTATCAACATTGAAGACATCATTTACATTTCTTAATCATATTCTTATACATTACATTACAATTATTACATATTCCTTTCCCTATTAATTCACTATTCCTTACTCCTTATTTATTCCACTTGTTACATAGTACATTTTCTACCGTGTTTCTCACAAAATAAGGCCGGGCCTTATTTTTTTTTGACCCCTGAAAAAATGGCTAGGCTGTCTTTTTGGGGGTGACTTAATTTCCTCCCCCACCTAGAGTGGCCCATAAGCACGTACCTCTCCATGAGGCCGTTTCTATCGGCCGACGAAAGCTCCCCAAAGGCAGAGTCCCCAGCCGCTTCAGGGCGAGACGTGGCTGCCCATGTCCCCTCGCCTTTAGGCAGTCTCTTTTGGGCGATGGAAGCTCCCCAAGTGCAGTCACCAGCCACTTCGATCGGCTGGTAGAAGCGGCCTCGCACACACACACCCCTCGCCGCGAGGCCGCTTCTATCGGCAGACGCAAGCTCCCTTGAAGGCAATGTCCCCAGCCGTTTCAGGGCGAGGCATGGCTGCCCATGTCCTCTCACCTTTAAGCAGTCTCTTTCGGGAGTTGGAAGCTCCCCAAATGCAGTCACCAGCCACTTTGATTGGCCGATAGAAGCGGCCTCAGGGCAAGCGCATACACACCCCTCGCCGTGAGGCTGCTTCTATCGGCAGACACAAGCTCCCTTGAAGGCAGAGTTCCCAGCTGCTTCAGGGCGAGGCATGGCTGCCCATGTCCCCTCGCCTTTAAGCAGTCTCTTTCGGGAGATGGAAGCTCCCCAAGTGCAGTCACCAGCCATTTCGATCGGCTGGTAGAAGCGGCCTCGGGGGACCGCACACACACACTCCCCTTGCCGCGAGGCCGTTTCTATTGGCAGACGAAAGCTCCCTTGAAGACAGAGTCCACAGCCGCTTTGGGGCGAGGCGTGCCTATGCATCAGGTTCCCAACTGCAAACTCAATGCAACTGCAAACTCAATGCAACTGCAAGCTCAATGCAATGTACATATGCTGTTGTCAGAATAAATATCAGACGACCCCAAGATTCCTGCTGCATTTCTGCTTCCTGAGCCAGCCGCTCTTCTTCGTCCCCTCAGATAACCCATTCTCCCCCCCCCACCGCCTCGATTTCCCACTGCAACCATTTGGGTCGCAGGAGGGTTGCTAAAGAAGCTTTTGTCTTCTCCTGTCCCACTCTTTTAAACTTCTCTCTGCAGCCTTGGAAATCCTCTCCTGGCAACTCCATCCCAGCTCCAACCCTGTTTAGTTTTCATCCTAGACAAGTTTCCTCCCAGGTGCGCTCTGGGAATCCAAGGCTTGTTTCCTCCCCCCCATCTCTGACTTGAGCAGAGCAGGCACTGGGGTGGGCAGGGAGGGGGCGGAGTGGAGGGGCTCCTGGTTTTTTTGCCTGAGCTGGGTGAAGATCATCCTGGTGGCCCCAAAGGGTGCTCTTTCAGATTGCTTTAATGATTAACAGGACACTTCCCTGAACTCCCACCTCTCTCCAGTGGGGAGGACGGCGTCTTGCTGGGCCCGGGAGAGATGATGGCTGCATTGCAGGGGAGAAACACTCCCCCCCCAAAAAAAAGCCCCTTGGGGAAACGTAAATGAATGAATAAACTCAAAGGGTCTTGGGACACTCCCCCCAGGTAAATTGCACCAACAAAAGAGAGGTGGCAGAAGAGCAGGGACCTTCAGGTTCAGAAACTCGGTTAAGCACAAGCTGCTACTTCTTCCCTTCCTGGCCTCATTTCACGTTGCCTTTGATCAACAAAGCAAATCTTAATGATAAACAACCCTTTTGTAACTTACCAACTGCATGCCAAATCCCACCCCCCCCCCAGGGGAACCACAAAGCAACACCCCAATTTATTAAAAATCCACCATTTTAATAAAAATAAATAAACCAAGCCATTTATTCAAATACAGGAACAATTTATTCAAACACAGGAACAATTTATGCAAACATACGTAGGAACAATTTATTCAAAAACAGTTATGTCATCTTCTGGAACATCGTCATAACACTCCAAAGCCTGAATTCCGCCTGGCATCTCTTGTGATTCCATTGCCTGTAAAAGGATTGGTCCCAATCGCTGATGTTTAGCAATAGAGGCCTCCTTAAAGGAGTATCTCTTGTCCATGTATCCTCCTCGTAGTGCATTGGCAACACAGGTGTCAGTGATGGAATCCCACGCCTTCTTCACCCAACTAACAACCTCTGCCAGGCTAGGCTTCACAAAGTTTCCTCGTTGGTTTCTCTCCATGTGATTCTCAATATAGTCATTGATTTGTACCTGCAGATTGTCCTTGAATGGTTTGTTTACTGCAATATCTAGGGTTTGGAGATGTGCTGTCATTCCTGCTAGGATCATTATTTGATCCACTCTTCTTTGTGCAAGGAAACGCTTCATGTCTTTGGCACGGTGAGTGCTGGCTGCATCCCATATCAGCATGCCTCTTTGGCCACCTCACACAACAAGTGGCAGTATTAACTCGATCCACTTCCTTATAACACCCTGTGTGCACCAAGCCTTTTCGTTTTCAAGCACATAAGTCCCTGAAACACGTTCAATTTTTTCTTTTTTGCCCTTGGCAATGACAAGAGGTGCTACTTTTGTCCCATCCAGGCGAATGGCCAAGATGCACGTAATACGTGTACTTTCATATCCAGTTGATGAAATGTAAATTGACGAGGCACCCCTCTTATCAATTGTTGTTTGAGCCTCTTGGCCCCAAAAAACTGCAGTCTCATCCATCGCAATCATGTGAGAGACATTATATTTGGAGAAATCAATGGCATCAACAAATGATTTAAAAGCAAGTGCCCATTTGACAATTTCAGCATCTTCTAGCTTGAAGAGCGAGGTGGATCTCCTCAGAGACAATTCATATCGCTGAAGGAAGCCATCCAGCCAGCGATGAGAGACTGAATTCTCCTTGCGTAATTTCAAACTGTGGTGCCATTGCAAGGGCAAATGCTCAAATATCAGCCCTGCGTACAACCAAAGCCTTTGCTCTCCTGTCAGCAATCCATTGAGAGATGGTGTCTTCAAGTTCAGGATATAATGGATGCCGACCTGATCCACACCTGCGCTTCTTGGCATTTCCCTTCTGCACC